TCTTCTGTCCGATGGTTCACTCCCCAAGTGACCGCAACAGCTGGAGCTGAGTCAATATGAAGCCGGGAGCCAGGACCTCTTCCAGGTCTCTCACATGGGTGCAGGGTCCCAGGCTTTGGACTGTCCTTGACTGTTTTCCCAGGGCACAGGCAGGGAGCTGTACGGGAAGCGGGGCTGAAGGAATTAGAACCGGTGACCATATGGGATTCTGGGGCGTTCAAGGCAAGGACTTTAACCACTATGCTATCGTGCCAGGCCCAAGTTTTGAATCTTAGCTGTACTGATTAACCATATGCACCACTATCACTCTCAAATCTTTGTTTGGTTTTCCTTGCAAAGGGAAACACATCATGATAGCATCATCACAATTAACTTAATGAAGCTGTGGCAGTGGGTTGAAGAGGTCAGACACCCGTAGGGAAGCACCTTAAACACACACTGTACGCCTTTTCTAGTACAAACAAATGGCGCTTTTCTCTGAATAAGAGCAAGAATATCTCACCAGCCTAATCGATCACAAAAGCCCGGTCACATGTGGTTGTATAGCTTGATGTTTGTATCAGACACAACACATCCTTGTTTAACACACAGAAACTATCTTGTGTAAATAACTCAACAGCTAACAGTTATCTCCAAGAGCCTTCTCCTTTTCCGCTAGGCCACACAGGATGGATACAAGGCATTAGTGAAGATTAGCATTTCTACTCCCATAATTCTTAATGATTTTCTATGCCCTTTCAGAACTTCACACTACTGGGAGTTTGCTACCAAGAAGGGTTTGGACAAATCTGAGTTTCCATTCTTGGATAGCTAATTAAAAATGAGGAGCAGAGGTACTGTCTCTAAGATAATCTGGCTTTTAGCCGCTAATGACAAGCACCTGTATCACACCCATTTTAAGTACACATTCAGGCAAAAACAAGAATCAAATTCCACCCCCCACCCACACCCCTTATTTTCCCATCTGCAGCTCCATAGTGATTCTGACGCTATCTGTTATAACATGTTCACGCACCCAAACTTCAGCTTTCACGCTTCTTAGCCTTGCCTTTTCATTCTTCAGTCAGTACTCTGGGATGCTCTGTAACCATTCAATAATACCCCCAAAGCTTTCTGTTATCTGTTCCCACCAACAGCATGTTAAACAACCTTGTACACCTACTCCAGTTCCAAAGGGTTAAATGAGGATTCATTCTCCCTCAAGTTCAGCTTATTTCCCAGAACACTGACAGGTGAATGAAAATCACTGCATAGTGTTAAACACACCCACAGATTTAATCAACTACCAAGTGAAAATACTAGAAATTAATTATATCTTTGCTGAACATTTACAGACATTCTATTATTGTTATTCCGTAGTAAAACAACTATTTACATGCCCCAGCTGTAGGTAACCATCTAGGTTGTCTTGCACCTAAGCAAGTGTTACACTGCTGGGAGAAAAGCAGCTAATAGCTGGCAGGCTTCCTAGGCCTGGTTAGTGCCAAATTTGTGTTAACTAGATCCATGTGCCAGCACAGTTCCCTATTATATTTCGTTATTTTTTCTTTTTAAATATATGGGGAAGGAAGGGAATGCTGGGCCGGGACACACCACTCTGGCCTCTAGACAAGGTTACAACACACACCAGCATTTGTGTAGGCCTAGGTCTAGGGGCAGGTTGGCCAGGGCGAGGCTTCAGCACTAGCTGTTACCCAGGAGAGTCATGACACACATGGGCTGTGCCCAGCTAGTCTAGGCTGCAACACCCACTGGGGAGAGCTGAAATTGCAGGTGGGCACCCACCAGTACATGCAAGATCCTGGACTGGTAGTGAGGCTGGCAGGGGAACTTCAGAAACTTTCTTGCTAGGCTGATGAGTGCAAGAGCCCACGGAGGGGTAGTGGACTCTGCTGAGCAAGGCTGCAGCACCCATGGCTGTGCATGAGAGCCGGATGGGATGTAGGACAGACCACGCTAGTCCACAGCACATGCAGGCACACGCAGGCACTTGCAAGAATCAGGGCTGGTGGTAGGCCGGTGGGATTTTTGGGAGTCACCCTGACTAAGCCATAGCACCTGTTGGTATGAATGAAGACCAGGCCTGTGGCAGGATGGGCAAGCTGGACTAGACCACAGCACCATTTGTTCACATGGGAGATGGAACTGGCAGCAAAGCTGAGAAGTCAGCTACACCCAGGTGTGTGTACAGACTGGTATGTGTAAAGGACTGGACCTGACGCTACACTGTCTGGCACACAGAAATCAAGTCTGAGGTCACCCTAGGTGAGGTTTCTTAGGGAACTTCCCAATTAGACCACGGGACTCAAACCCTGGCCACAGGGAAAAATCACAATGTAAGTGGTCTGATTTGGAGTGTGTATGTCAAGACTGGGCCTTCACAGTTTCTGAGGTCCATGTATTGGACAATGTGTGCAAATGCACGGGGGCTAAATGCCAGCCAGCTCATGTAGGCCAGATGAAGATACTGAGTGCCTTGTCGGAGGATACAAAGCAGAAGAGGTTGGGCCACTCTCCTGGCCGAGCTTTGCAACACCTTCTTGGACCTGTGGGTACACTAAGGTAGACCTGATCAGCCAACAGACCTTGAAAAGATTTTCTCAACCCTGGGGAAACAAAGCTGATGATGTCTCAGAACTATCAAAACCACTCAAGTAACACTCTTAGAACACTCTTCCCCACATCGGGGTCTATAAGTTGTCATCAAATGACCATTCCCCAGTCCTGAAGAGTTTGGCATAATTTGACAGCAAGCCCCTGCCCATTCCTCCCATGCAGACACAGGAGAAAAAAAATGAAAACATTTGTCCCATCCACCTTTCTCCATACCCTGACCCTTCCTACCCTAATTGGAGATCCACATGGGCATGCATCCCTCTCAACTATTTAAACAATGTTAAAAATAAAAATTTTTTTTAAAAAACAGCTATTCACATGGTATTTTGACAGCCATTTCCATCATGTTTACAGTGTACTAGATATTATTTGTAATCTATAGATGCTTTGAAGTAGAGAGGAAGATGTATACAGGCTACATGCAAACAGTATGTCATCTTATACAAGTTCTTTATACAAGAACTTGGGATCTGTAGGAAATCTTGGAACTCCATGGGCAGTGACCCTTTTCTCTGATAAGTTTGTTGGTTTTCCCATTTCACACACTAATATAACACTGATTCTGAAGTCCTCTACAGATCAAATACCAAACTCTCCAACAAATCTTTGATGAGTCATCAAACCACACAATTCTTTCCATTAAGCCATTTCTAAGTCTCACAATTACAAACATTGCAGAGCTGCCTCAGGGCATAACTAGATTTCAGGTTAGCCTGAGACTTATAAAGACATGGATGAAGGTCTGGCCTTTCCATGATGCTAAATTCAACACTCAAAAGATCATGTAGCCAGCCACATGGAAGAAGAATATAAAAGAAAATAAGAGGGATGGTTATCTTCCACAAGAAACAAGATAGTTTTCCTGTATCCACCAGTTCAGGCAATCCATTAGTAGAAAAGAGAAGAGGGGATCTGTACATGCACAAGAAATTATGAGGCAGACGGACTCTCCTCCCAGCCCATGCAGCCCCACCGATCTCTCAGGCTTTTACCGAAAAGATGAACATTCCTGTCTCTTGGGAGTAAACATGGACCAAAGTTGATCAACAGGCAACATGAAGCCAAGAAAGATTTCCTCTCTGCACTGCCTACCCTCTCACTACAGCAACTGGAAAACACCAATCGCATACAGAAGGATCACACCATATCGTGCAAAGCTTTGTTTAACAACAGGAAAACTCTTGGCATAGAAAGTCCATGCTTCTAATTGTGCATTCTGCTTCTCTGAATATTTTTATGTACAATAAGGAAAATTCAATGAGCTCTAAAGTCCCTTGAACATCTAACAGTCTACACTCTTACCATTTACAGTATACATCCAGACATCATTACTAAGTTCATTGTTGGTTATTTTTCCAGTGTAAGGATGAAGGCTTCCACATCTTTGTTTCAATTTGTGTTAATGCGAGGCAAAGGGAAGATACATGCATACACTTGCATAGGTCATTTTGGATGTATATTGAAGTATAAACAAAATACTAGTGATGGTTGCTCTTGATCAAGGAGACTGAGGGGCCAGGAGCCTTGTGCAGGCAGAGGGACTTAGTCCTTTGTGCTTGTGGTCTAACTCCATCTTATTCCTCCTCCTTGAGCCATACCTGCCTTCAGAATGTCCAACATTTCAGCTGCACAAGCTTCCTACTGGCCTCTAGTGCCTGGCACACTGCTCCTCCAAGATCCCCCCACACACACTGTCCCTTACTTCATTCACAAGGCTCCCGTGTCACCTGTAACTGAGACATCCTTGGCCTCACTGTACCCTACTGCTTGCCCCTCACAACCCCTAGGGCCCCTGAATTCTCTTGGTACTTAACACGGCTTGGCATACTCCCAATTTGCCTATATATGCTGACTTCCTTTTGGAACACTGCGTGGTGCATTCACAGGCAAGTCAGAAACAATAAAGGCTTGAGTTCTTAAAGAAATAATGTAAACTTTTTTTTTCAGCAAAAAGCAGCTAAGCTGTAACTCCCTGATGAATTAACCGCTAAGTAAGTATTCCTGTGAGATCAAGTCTGAATTTCTTTTCTTGAAACACAGGGTTCTTCTTACCCTAAATTCTTGTCATCCATGACGTGTACCCATACATAGCTACCTCACAAAACTGAGATTAAAAGTCAGGTGAAGGCTCTTTAGCATCCTGGGCGATACAAAGGCTTCCAGAACACGGTTTCCCGGTGCGCAGCAGGCCCGGGGAAGGCCACGCCGACGCCTGACTGGCCCGCGTCCCGCCGTTACCACGGAAACCGCCGGGCGTCGCGAGAAGCCGGGGCCCACGGCTCGACCCTTTCCGCGTCCGCGATAGGCGGAAGGCGGGCCAATCGGAAGAAGCCGGGGCCAGGGGGCGGACCTTGTCCCGAGAAAGGCGGTCCGGCCGCCCCGCTCCCCGACTTCCGGGTCGCGTTGCGTGCAGGAGCGCTCGGCGAGCAGCGTCGTTTCCGTGGCCGGCTGTTTGCAGTTGGGGAAACCGAGGCAGCTGCAGCTCCCCCTCCCTTAGTTCCTCCGCTGCTGTGAGGTGGCTGCTGTTCTCTCTTCTCTCGCCCGGCGTCCCGCGGGGTTCTGCGGAGCGTCCGGGGGCGCCCGGGCCGGCGGGGCTTTGTGCGAGCGCGTCCCGCCCACCGGCGGGCACGGCCGGGTGCAGGAGCGGGGCCTCGGCGCTGCGGCTGCCCGAGCCGGGGCCTCGGCGAGCGGGCGTCTCCCGAGCCCGCCGCCTTTGTCCGGACCACCCGTCACCTGCGGGGCTGCTCTTGACCTTCCCTCGGGCCGCAGTCCTGCGGGATCTTCGGAGAGAAGGTGGAAAGCGGGGAGTCGTTGAGCATTCTGTGTTTAGGGTGCTCCCTCTCACTGGCACCTTCCCCCTCCCTAAGCTCTCTTTACGTGTAAAAAGAGCTTTTCTAAGATCCAGTTCTATTGAATATTTTTTTTTTGTTTTGTTTAAATTACTTCCACCCTGCATCTATTGAGCGGAAAAGCGAGAGTGAGCCCGAATGAGATCTATCTACTGCGGGCTCAATTTGCATACTGGCATTTGTAAGCTGTTGGCTTTGTGGTTTGCTGACACCGCCTGAGGGTGGGACAAGCTTGAGCATTCACCCAAGTGCTGAGAACTTGTTCCTGATCACAATTATATTGGCTGTGTTTTCCTCGTCACTGCCTTGAAATCCTCTTGCTCTTGAATTGTGGAGGGAATGGTTTCTCAAGGGGTAAGAAAATAAGAAATTAAGACGTGAAATAAAATGATCAGAAAGTGCACATCATTCTTTCAAGTTTTTCCATAGCTTCACTCTTAACGCTGCTTTTTTTATAAGCGTTTTTAAAAAGTGGGACCCATTGGCCATCCAGTATTTAAGGGTAATATTACACCTGTGTTGTTTTCGATGCCTAATTAAACATCACACGAGAGTCACAATGGAGCAAATAAATATAACTTGAAGTTGGGTGAGCTGGATAAAGTTTATTTTGTAAAGTTCGATTTCAAGTCATTAAGCTTGTCTTATATATTTCCTTCCCCAGGAAAAATGTTTATTTCTCTGTGGGAATTCTTCTATGGCCACTTTTTTCGATTTTGGATGAAATGGCTGCTACGACAGATGACTGGGAAGTGTGAGTTGCAGCGAATTTTTGACACCTATGTAGGTGCACAAAGGACGCACAGAATAGGTAATGTTATGCATAAGTAAAACCAATACAAATTTAAGATCTTTTTCCTTGGTGCTCATTGTAACAGATGTACTGTGTATGCTGTTCAAGTCACTTGAACAGATTTTCATCAGCTTTGAAAACTGAATCATTCTAGCTAACAAAGTGTAAGATTTCACAGAAAGGGGGACATTATTTCCTTATCTGGGCAAAGAATCATCTTGGAATTCTTCAGTGAATCAGTTCCTTATGTGACAGTTGGCAACAGTTGCTAGAGACCATGTACTCTTCTGCTGTCTTTGAAATTTTCACTCAAGTGATGAGAAAGATGAATGCCTCACGTAGATCAGTTCATGCTTAGTGTCCTCGGTCGCCCTCTTAATTTCCTGGGATTATTTATAAATACATCCTTGTTTTCTGAGAGTTTGTGTGAATCGGGATGTGTAGGTATCTCAGTAATTGTTTATATTCCATGTAGGTTGAAGTGGTAATATAACCTATGGAGCTAACTATATTCAAATTGATTTGATTGTTTTGTTTAACTGATATGTCTAGAGACAACCTTAAAATATCTGAGTGTCTCACATCCTGGCTTGCGTTGTGTTTCTGTTGAGCATTGCTATTGCATTACCTTCTCAGATAGGTTGGTGTTGCATTGCATAATGCGTTAGTCTGAGTTGAGACAGATGGCTGAGAAAGACGGTACGAAGTCATTTCCTCTTACCCAGCCTATCCTAGCTGTAGCTCCTGCTCACTGTGTTCAGTGGGAAATCATGAGTTGGCCATATCTGCTTTTGTGTTGGTCAAGTGTGTTTCCACTGATTGAGTAGTTCCTATAAGGTTGACAGAGAAGGGTGCTGGCAGTGCAAACCTGTATCCAGGACACTCGGGAAGAATGACTGACAACTGTTGCCTCAGGGCAGCTGGGTAATTGAGGTGTAATTACTGTCCAGGTTTTCTAGCCACTTCCCGGTTGACTCAGTGATTGCCTGTTCTTTTGATTTGCCCTTTTGACTACTCATAAGAACAAAGTAGGTCTCGATAAGAAACAGCTGCAGGCAAGGTGTTATCTGATGTTTCACAGTGCACTAAGGTTTTGCTTTGCAGAAAACATATTTTTCTAGATTTTCCTAGTAGCCAAAAAGGAGACTTATCAGATGTGCCAGAAGTTTTAAAACTAGACTAGTAAACTTGTTCTTCTCATTCTTGAAGTAGAAGCTGGGACTAGAGAAGGTATTTTGCTATTTGATTAGAGACCCTTTGGCCAGAGAGTTCCTCAGCTGTAAACACTGAGGAAGGAAGGCTGAAGCACGCGCCTGGGTGCCTGCACAGGCGCTTCTGGCTGGGTGATTTGCCGAGATAGGTAGACCTGTCACAGGACCACAGCGCCGATCATGGTCCTTGGCATCCCCTGGCTAGCTGTGCGATGCCTGGGCGAGCTTTTTGGAATGCTCTGCTCCTGTGTGCTGTACAAACAAATGCTATGCTTTTCAAGTAGAAATTTCTGTCCTGCAAAACTGTGAGGAAACTTCGTAAATGTAAAGGAAAAAAATAACTTTTTGGGTACACAATTGTTTGAAATTTGTATGTAGGTCCTCATGAGCCACATATGATCCACATTTTCTATGAATTGTTTGAAGAATACTCAGTAATTGGTTACAAGTTTGATGATCTTACTACATGTTTGCAGTTTGAGTCCATTCTTTTTTCTTTTTTTTCTCCAGAAAATTCCCTGACATACTCCAAGAATAAGGTAAGATCGGGCTATGAAGGTGATGATTCTAGAAACCTTGAACATCTTAAATTCTTTCATTTTGCAATTAGTCAATATGCCCTGCTAGCAGTCTGCTTAGAAGGATGTTAGCAGAAGTGTGCCACTTCAGAAGGAATGTGTTCTGTTCCAAACATTTCCTCTATGCCTTTCACGTGTATCCTTTCTGCTCATGAGATTTTACTGATTCATTTTGTCTTAGACTTCCATAGCTCGGGGTTGTGGGCTGGGGAGGCTTTCTCAGACTGTGTCTTCAGGATAGATTTTATGAAAGAAAAACAAGCAACAGAAAAGCCTACCTCTTGTATTTTTCTGTCTAGTATGAGTCAAAACTCATGTACATGTTAGCTTTCGCTGTGTGACGAACTGCTACTGATGCCATGTTATTCCTTGCTTGTGTGTATTTGGATGAACTGGAGAGGCTGTTTTTTAAGCTGGTGCCGAGTTCAGACCAATTCCGTTTATCTCATTTTGAGACCATGTTGAGAAGGCAGTGAAAACCTGTAGAACGTCCTTTTATTGCATCATGAAGACCAAGCCACACAGGAGTACTTAGGTGTCCTTGTGTCATATCCAGGAGCATATCATTTTTTAAAATAATCACTGAGGGCCCAGTGCAGTGGCCTAGTGGCTGAAGTCCTTGCCTTGAAGGTGCCGGAATCCCGTATGGGCACCGGATCTAATCCCAGCAGCCCTGCTACCCATCCAGCTCCCTGCTATGGCCTGGAAAAGCAGTCGAAGACGATCCAGAGCCTTGGGACCCTACACTCACGTGGGAGTCCCGGAAGAGGCTCCTGGCTCCTGGCTTCGATCAGCTCAGCTCCAGCTGTTGGAGTCATTTAGGGAGTGAATCAACAGACGCAAGATCTTCCTCTCTCTGTCTCTCCTCCTCTTGGTATATGTGACTTTCAAATGAAAATAAAGTTAAAAAAATAATCACTGAGTTGCAGCCACATAGTAGAGACTGTGCCTACCAAAAAGCAGTGGGAGGTAGTGGGTGCATAATTCAGTTACGGCCTACCACTTACTATTCCTTCCCGATTTTGTTGGTTCATGATTTTTTTCTACGTGTGGATTATCTGATGTGACAGATTTGTGTCTTGTCATGTTCTAAAATAGGGATCACTGTCAAACAGTGTTGACTTTGGTGATATGCGAGTTATTGATTGATGCCACTAACATATGCACATTGTGAAGTGTGGCAGGCCTGTCCATTATGTTCTGGAGAGTAATCTCAAAACAGGTGCTTTACTGTTTAATTACGGCCTTTTATTTGTGATGGGTCTGTGTAAGCATAACTTGAACTTAAATGAATATTGAAGTTCTGAGTTTTGTTCTTTTGTTCAGGATAGTTACCTTTTTTTTTTAACAAAAATGTAGGGGTTCAGAAAACTAGCAAGTTGCTGGTTCTAAATTGTTTTTCAAGATTGATTTATTTATTTGAAAGGTAGAGTTACAGAGAGAGTTTTCCACTGGTTCGCTTTCCACGTGGTCTCAGTGGCCAGCACTGTGCCAGCCTGAAGCCAGGAGCCTGAAACTCCATGAGTTCAACTCTTGAGGCAGGAGTTGAACATGCTGCGATGTAAGACCCGCCCCTCTAAGTCTTTTTTTGATTTTGTATATACTCACATAAGTGCCTTGAATTGAAATCTGGAACATAGTTTCGAAAGTAATAACATGCATCAGTAAGTTGGATAGGTATACTTGAAAAAATGTTACATGTTCAAGTAGTTCTGAAACGGAAGCTAGCAACAGAATCTTCTGGAGGCTTATTAAGACAGATTACGAGGCCCCATCACCAGAATTTCTGATTGAGTTGTGATTGTGTTTCTGACATGTTCCTGGGTAAGACCGCTACTGTTAGAGTTAGTGATTTGAGAATTATTGCATTAAGCTGTTGTCTCTAAATTGTTCTAAAGCATTAAGTGCTCTTTCTTTCTATAGGAAATAATGTGTACATTTTCCAGGCTGAACTTAGTGTTTTAAAATGTAATAAATTTGCAATTATTTGGATATTGAACCCTTTAGAATGGATTGTTAGGTTTACTTTGGAGTTTTTTTAGTCTTGAAGGTTTTTGTTTTTTTGGAAATTGAGTGACAGAGAGGGAAGAGATCTTCTGACTGCTGCTTTCTTACCCCAATGGGCACAACAGTGAGGGCCAGACCAGGGGCTGGTGAAGTGGTGCAGTGATGCAGCAGCAGGCTGATCCTCTACCCTGTCGTGCCAGCATCCAGTACGGGTGCTGGTTCATATCTTGAGTGCTCAACTTCCAATCTAGCACTCTGTTTGTGGCCTGAGAAAGCAGCAGAGAATAATCCAAGTCCTTGGGATCCTGCACCCATGTGGGAGACCCAAAAGAGGCTCCTGGCTTTGAACCTGCCAAGCTCCGGCCATTGTGGCTCTTTGGAGAGGAAAGCTGCGGATGGCTGGATCTCTCTCTCTCTCTCTCTATTTCTCTGTCTTTGTGTGTAATTTTACCTTTCAGATAAATCAATTTTTATTTTAAAAAGTTTTTTTTTAAATGCTCACAGGTAAATTTAATGAAAGATATGGTGACTTGTGCATTAAAACTGGAGAATGTTGCTAGGAAACAAACTGGGGAGATATATTGTATTCATAACTTAGAAAAATCAATTATATCAAGGAGTTAATTCCAGAGTTGATTTAAAAATTCAATGCAATTCCAGTCAAAATCACAACGGGTTATTTTCAGAGATACTGTCAAATACATTCTAAAACTTAATGCAAAATGGAAAGGACCTAGTCCAAGTAATCAACTAAGAGAGTTTGCAGCACCTGATGTCAAGACTTTCTAAGCAAATAGATGAATGTGACATGCAGAATCAGATACAGGCCACACGTAAGAGGTCATATCATTTTTGAGACAATGCCAAAGCAATACAATGAAGAAAAGAAAGGTTTCTTTTTTAAAAAAGAGGTTTATTTCCATGTGGGAAGAAAACAATAGTCAACTCCTATCTCCCACCATACATGAAACTAATCGATCAGCTCTTAGGCCAGTATTCAGACCAAGTTTTTTTTAAAAAAAGATTTGTTTATTCACTTATTTAAAAGTCAGAGTTAGAGTCATACTTCTCTGCTAATTCACCCCTTACCCGCTTTATCCAGGTCTTTCATGTAGATGCAGAGACCCAAGAACTTGGGCCATCTTCCACTGCTTTTCCCAGGGTATTAAGAAGGAGCTGGATGAGAAGAGGAACAGTCGTGAGTTGAGCTGGTGCCCAAGCAGGATGCTAGCTAGCATCTGGTAGCAGCTTTACTTACAAGCCTGGCTTCTACACTAAAATTTTTAAAGTTTCTAAAAGAAAAAAATAGGAGAATATCTTCTATGACTACAAAATTTTTAGAGAAGACATAATGTTACCATTTTTAAAAAGTCAAAAAGTTAGATTTCATAAAAATGTAACTTAAAAAAAAATGAATGTGTAAGCCAGCACGTGTATATGAAAGAACTGGTCTAGTAAGGAATCTGTAAAACTCATCAACTAGAGAGAGTAGTGATTCTTCCTATATGAAATAGTTAACATCACCCATGTTGGTTAACTCCACTTTGAAGTATCAAATGGCATCACCACTTTGGAAAAAGTAGTTTTGGCAGTTTCCTTAAAAGATAAACCTTTATCTATATAGTATCATTTAAAATTTTTTTAATATCAGCTACATAGTAAGAGGGATAAACGCCCATGTGGGTTTCTGATTAGGGTGGGGAGACAAACGTTTCCATCTTTTTTTTCTGCTGTATCCAGAGTGGGAGGGAGAAGGGGAGGGGTCACTCCTTGATGTCAAACTACATCAGCCCCTGGGGAATGGGGGAGGGGATGGGCATTTGATGACTCCTTAGAGACTCTGATGTGGGGAAGAGTGTTCCAAGGGCCTTAAACTTGAGTGATTTTGATAGTTCTCAGAAATCACTGATAAAATCTTTCCAAAGTCCGTTAGCTGACCAAGTCCCTTAGTGCATCCACAGGCCCTGGAACATGTTGCAAAGCCTGTCCAGGAGAGTGGTCCAACCTGTTCTGCCTTCTATCCTGTGATGAGGTACTCAGTGTCCTGTGACCTGAATGAGCTGGCTGTTGTCTCCTGTGTGCCTGCTGTCCACTGCACGGACATCAACAACTGAGGAGGCTCAGTTCAGACATATGCATTCCATAGCCATACCATATATTTTGTGATTTCCTCAGTTGCCAGAGTTTAAGTTCAGTTATCTAGTTGGGGAGTTCCTCAAGAAACCAAGCCCAGGATGACCTTAGATTTGACACTTATGTGTGCCAGCCAGTGTAGTCAAGTTTGGTTCATCACCTGTTCCAGCCAGCATGCATAGCAGTGGATGCAGCTGTTGGATCAATTCTGCCCCAAATCCCATCTCTCACATGAACTGGTGGGTGCTATGGCCTATTCAGCCCAGCCTAGCCCAGCCCACTGCAAGTTCTGTCTTCATACACATACCAGCAGGTGCAGCAGTATAGTCAGCGAGACCTCCACCCCTCCAGAAGCCATCAGGCCCACCTCCAAACCCCTGTTTCAGCATGTACCAACCCCTGTTTCTGCATGTACCAACATGTGCTGCAGGCCTTGACTCACATCCCCAGACCTTGACCCACACCTGTGCCTAGCCCAGTCTGTCCCATATCCCATCTGGCTCTTGTGCACACCTGTGAGTGCTGCCACTTAGCTCAGCCTGACCCGTCCCCAGACCTTGGCCACACACATGCCAGTGAATGGTGAGGCCTTGCACAGCCTGGTCCGCCCCCATCCCTGGCTCTTATGCTCACCAGCAGGAGCTGCAGTGCAGAAGAGTAGTACCAACAGTTTCCCGACTTGGCCTGCTTTCAGCCCTGGATCTTGCACCTGCCAGGGGTTACTGCAGTCCAGTCTGACAAGACTCATGCCCAGTCCCATCACTTGAAGCTATTCTGGCTGGCCTGCACCCATTCTGGTTCTCATGTATGCTGGTGGGTATAGCAGCTTAGCAAGCCTGCCCCAGACTGGCCCACTCACAGTTCCAGCTCTCATGCTCAACAGAAGCAGAGCATATCAGTAAGACGGTCCCCAAAATTCCTATACCAGGCCCACTGCCAGCCCTGGGTTTTACATGTGCTGGTGAGTGCTGCAACCCAGACTGAGATGGCCCACCACTACATCTTTGCATTCGCCAGCAGGTGCTGCAGCCTATCCCAGCCTGGCCCACCACTCACCCTTGGGCCCTCACATGAACTCATGGGTGCTGTTGTCCGACCTGGGCTGGCCTGCAGCCTGTCCTGGCTTTCGCTCATGCTAGTGTGTGCTATGTACTGGCCCAGCCCACCCCACCCCTAGATCTGAGTCAATATGTCAACTGATGCTGCAGCCTGACCTAGTCTCACTTCATGATTGTATTTGTATACTCACTGCTAAGTGATAGTGGTAGAAGTCAGAACAGTGGTTGCCTCTTGGAACAAGGATTATTTGGGAAGGAACATGAGGCAATCTTCTGGATTGATGGAAATGAATTGATATTTTGATGGATTTATGGATTGATTGGATGTTTGTCAAAGCTGATCAGTGTTTATATTGTGTTTATATTATATCAAGCATGGAGAGGTTACTTTCACTTGAATAGACTAAGGCGAAGCTTCTTGAACCTAGTGTTTGGGCTCAGCTAGAACTGGGATGCAAGGCTGTATTTTGAGATTAGGGAAAGGAGTCTTTCAGATGAAAGGCAACTGGTAAGCAGAGGCGTTACTGTGGGGATAGCTGGAATGTATTGCCTGCAGTCTGAAGCAAATACACAAAAGAGGATTTTGATATAGAAGCCTAGAGAGAGGTGAGAGTAAAAGAAACTTTTTAAGGATTAGAAAGGACTGAACTTGTGTATTGAAAGAAAAGATGCAGTGAGTATTTATAGAATGTTTTATTTAAGAAATCCATTTTGCATGTTTAGAAAAAGTGCCAAAAGATACATGCTGCTAAAGAAAAATTAAGAAGGCATAGTTAGGCATACCTCAGGATCAGCTTGAAGGTGCCAAAACCATAGGCAAAACTTCTGTTATGTGATTTTCCCCCAAATAAAAGCTGTAGTCATAAATGAAACTCAAAACATAAGCTTTACATCTTTGTCAGCCTGAGTCCCTGAAATTCAGTCAATCAGCTGTGGATGAATTGGCTTAAACAGATTTGCCTGCCTTAAAAAGAATGCTGTGTGTAGCAGCCAATTATTTAAAAAAAAAAAGCTCAAATACATTCTCTGTTATACTTGGTAAGCTGTGCTGAAAGTGCTAAGAAGCAAGCTTTTTACTCTTTCCAATTGGTGAGCTATTCTGTAGCTACAATAAACTATGATTTCTTAATTAGATCTAATTTGCTTTTTGACAATATCGTTATCAGAGGTTCATCTCAGTATTCAGGTTTCTTTTAGAATTTCTTTTGTTTTTTAATTTTCATGATATAGTTACATAGCCAGAGGGATTTTTCCTTCCACTCCCCATTCCTCCCCCAACTGTTTTCCACCATATTATTGCAATAGTATAGTCCTGCAGCAACAGTCACAAGTCCATCATTCTTCCACTTAAAGTGTATCATGACATTGTAGTTATAGACAATGGTAGAAAGTCCAGCATCCTATTGTCAACGTATATTTAACAGTTCCATTGACAGTCTTTGTTTGGGAGTACAGGTGCATACTGTAGCTTATTTTCACTTTCTAATTATATAGTTCCCTCATTATGTATTTCCTTGGGATGAATACGTGTATATATACGTTTACCTATGTATCTATCTTGCATTTTACATGAAGGTTGCCTTATATCAGAGATAAATCTGATGTCCTTTGGCAGTTGTCTTACTTCACTGAGCATAACGGTCTCTAGTTGGCAGCATCTTGATGGCTTCTGAATTAAGTTTTTGTGATTTTGTTTTTAGTATTTAAGAGGTGAACTCTCATCAGCTGGTTAACTCCCTGATCTGAAGCTGGGAGATTGGAACTCATTTCACGATTTCCACCAAGGTGGCTCAACTAGTTGAGCCCTCACCTGCCTTCTGGGGTCTATAATAGAAAGTTATAGAATCAGGTGCAGGACCCAGTATGATGGCTCAATTGAGTAACCCTCCCTGCAAGTGCTGGGATCCCATATAGATGCTGGTTCATGTCCCAGCTGTTTCACTTCCTATCCAGCTCCCAGCTTATAACCTGGGAAAGAAATAGAGAATGGCCCAAAGCCTAGGAACTCTGCACCCATGTGGGAGACCTGGAAGAAGCTTCTGGCTCCTGGCTTCAGATTAGCTCAGCTCCAGCCATTGCAGCCACTTGGGGAGTGAACCAGCAGATGAAAGATCCATCTCTTTATCTCTCCTTCTCCCTGCAACTCTGTCTTTCATTATTCACTAAAAGTGAATAAATCTGAAGAAAAAAAAATTAGATGCAAGGCTTAAATTTGAGCCGTTGCACCTAATACAGGATGCAGGCATCCCAGTGTGACAAACTGCTTAGTCTAAACAACTACTTCTAAACTTATTTTCAACTTCTGTATTAAGTATGTCATACAAATATTTTCACTACATAATTTAAAAATTTTATAGATAATATCTGCTTCATAAGCATACTACAGTCGCAGCTCATTTGTTAAGAATCATCAGTTGGAAACCTGTTGATTCTTACTCAGCAAAAGTACTCCTCATTGGATACATTATGTGCTTTTATTAAACAAAAGCAGAGAAGCAATATAAATGCACAAGTTTAATGCTAGAAAAAGTTTGAAACAAATTTAATATCCCTTTACGTTTTAAAACCTGCTTTGTACACTTGACTAATTCTTTCAAAATTCCAGCTTTTTCCACTAATATAGGTTTTCCTAACTCATCTCTCTTTCACATAAATAGGTTTTGCAGGAAGCGACACGTGCTGTTGAGAGTGAGGTGGACAAATGTGTGGACGACATAATGAAGGAGAAGAATATTAACCCTGAGAAGGATGTCAGGTGTGCCTCTTTGACATGACTTTTTTGATCCCCCGTGTATGGCCTGTGAGCTGTGGAGCCTTATGCTCAGTTGTGGAACTTCAGAGCTGAAGGGTTTGTGGATGTGTCTGATTCACCCCCCTCACGTAACTGGATGAATAATCAAGGTCCAGAGGTGAGCGCTGGAAGCAGGGCTGAGACCTCCCTCTCTCGGCTCCACTCCAGTAGCATTGCCACTGTCCTGGAGCCTCTTCAAGGTTAACTGACCAGTACCTGGCCAAGATTAAACAGCTTTGGCTATGGTATCTCTCCCTCTCTCTCTCTCTCTCTCTTTTTTAAGATGTATTTTTATTGGAAAGACAGATCAGATTTACAGAAACGAGAGGAAGGTCTTCCATCTGGTTCACTTCCCAAATGGCCACAATGGCCAGAACTGAGCTGATACAAGGGTAAGAGCCAGGAGTTTCTTCTGGGTCTTCCATGGGTGCAGGATCCCAAGGCTTTGGGCCATACATAACTGCTTTCCCAGGCCATAAGCAGGGAGCTGGAAGGGAAGTGGAGCAGCCAGGACATAAACCAGCACCCATATGAGCTCCCACGATTTGCCCTGGCACAATGAGCCATTGTACCAGGCCCTACTGTGTGCTTCTTATCCTTCCCCCCCCCCTTTTTTTTATTATATCTTTGACAATCTTTACATAATTAATTAGGGTAAAAAGGTTCAAGGGCTTTAGGGAAGTGGGTAAGACCATTATTTCCATATTGTTTCCTTCATGTATCTGAGGTAAAGGGGGATATTGAGGGAGAAGCCCCACCCAGTTTCCCACCCCAGATCCCAGATATGGGGCATGCTTTGAGATACTTTCTCAAGTGGTTTTGATAGTTTACCAGTTATGGATCGCTGCCAATCTCGCCACTCCAAGCACGATGAGGTCGTTGAAGAATCCACTGATTGACATAGTCCATCATAGAGCCTCCATTTGCCCAGTATTTCGCTGCCAACATGTAGCTGAGGTAGTTGATTGACTTGTTCTGTCTTCTGTCTTTCTTGTTTAGGGTTCTGATTCCGGCATTTCGATTGGGTAGATCCCCAAAGAAACTTTGTCTGAGGTGTTCCCAGACCAGATTCTTGTATATACTAGCAAGTACAGGGCCCAGCACAGTCCATCGCCCCAATCAGTGGGTAACTTTCCATGGCCTGTTCTGGGCTGTTTCCTATCATGCTTCTTGTGCTTCCCTGCCGGGTCTGTGTCCTGCCAGAGGAGTTGCCCAGGCTCCTACATCAGAACCTCTCCCAATCCCAGATTTTGCACATACCAGGGGGACCTTGAGCCAGCCCTACTCAGTTCACCTCCTGTCACAGCAGGAACATTGGCTTTCCCTTACTTGCCTTCAACCCAAACTGTTTCTTGCTGTTGGATGTTTCAGCCCAGCCATGGCTCGTCCATACCCACATATGGCTCACACATGGCTCAGTAGGGGTTGAGACCTAGCCTAGTCCATCCTACATCTACCCTGGTCCTCAGAACACCAGATGGTGTTGGAGTCTGGCCTGGCCTGCTGCATCCAGTCCCAGTCCACACTTTTGCCAAGGGAGACTACAACCGTTTTCTGATTGGAACACTACTCCCATTCCAGCCCACATGCCCCTTGATGGGAACCTCAACCCAGTTAGGGTGTCCCCTTAACTCCTCAACCAGGCCTGTTCCCAGCCATAGATCGCGTGCATGCCAGTGGTTGCTCTGACTCAGCTTGGCTCAGCTCCTCATCTGTCCCGACCTCTGCTTTAGACACTGTGGCTTAGCGTTCCTGGCTCATGTGGACCAGTAGGTGCAAGAGCCTGGCTCTGCATGACATGTGCTCCATCCTAATTTCTAGTTTCGCTTGTGGGCTAAGGTTTGCTCAGTCCTGCCTGGTCCACCCTGTTCCATTACCAATTCACACATTAGCCAGCCATTGGAGCTACTTTGTCCAGCTTGTCCGACCCCCAGGTCTGAACCTCCTATTCACCAGTGGGAGCTATGACTCGCCAGGGGAGTTTCCCAAGTTCCTCCACTTAATCCACTCCCAAACCCAGCTCTCATACATGCCATTGGGTTTTAGGCCAGTACCCAGTGAAGTCTGGCCTTCCATTTGGCCATGTATGAGCTGGTGAACGTTGCAGCCCAGCCCACCCCACACCCTAATCAGGATGCACATTCGGGTGCTGCTGCCTTGACCAGTCCAGATTGTTGAGTGATGGAAGGCTACTGGGTCACACCTAGCTTAGTCCATCACTATCCCAGCTCTTGAGCTAACCAGTGGGGCTAGTATTTCCACAGGATTTGGCCCACACATCCCTCACAGAATCTACCCTACCCCCAGATATGGTTCTTTAGTGCTAGTTAATGTCATGGCCCTGCCTAATGTGACCTGTCTCCTGATCCATCATCATGTAAGGTAATAGGATATGATCTTGCTGGACAAGCCCCAAGCCTTAGCTTTTGCATGGACTGGTGTTTGGTGGTCAGCATTGTTCAATGATTACAAGTTCTTCAAAGGAAGAGTTACTGTCATTGGGAGTCTTTAGCATTGATTCATATCCCAGAAGCACTGTGGGTTCAAGCTGGAGCTACCTAAGCAGCGATTCAAAGAACCAAAACCCCAGAACTCACGGCTTGGCGGCCAGCAGGCGGAGCCTAGCGCGCAATGGCACACTGACCACCCAGGGACAGCTCACCATGTGCACGCGGAGCCTGGCGTCAGGGATACGGACATGAGATGCCCCGCCCTGAGACCCACCAGCAGCTGGCAGGCTGCAGGAAGTTTAAACCCCCAAGCCCAAGGTCACGCTCCTTCCCCAATCCCATCCACTCAATCAGGGTGGGGCCCAGCCCCAGAAACTTCCCCCTTGGTGTACTTACCCCAAGGGAGCAGCCCCCTGAACCCAGGCAGGCCCGGGGACAGCTCACACATGCACACAGTGACTGGCGTTAAGAATCCGGGCATGAGACACCCAGGCCTGATACCCACCTATCCTTCTAAATTAGTTCCTTTGTCCTCCAGAAGATCCTCCGTGGCCTCTCCAGTCTGAGTTAGAAGCCTTGTTCCATACTTCATGGAGATGGATACCATACTGTTCAACCCACTGTGTGCGAGCCACTAGTGCATCCTTGTTCTTGCTCCAGTGCATTCTGAATTGTATAAGAGGGGTGCTTATTGCTATTTTGTGTTCCCATGACAGTATATTCACCTTATAAGCAGTTAACATCCCCCCCCATCCCCAGTATTCTCTGTGTAATTACACAAGAAGGCATGATTTATTTAGTTGACACGAGGAGACTGTAGTAGGGAATTGTGAAGATGGTTCCAAAAAAGGTGACATTTGAATTAGATTTTGATGGGTAGTTCAGGGAAGACACAGAGACATAGAAGTATTTGTGTGTCTGGGAATGATGGGAAATCCTTTGAGTTGGAGCATTGGATATGTACAGAGCAGACACTGGAGAACTAGATGGGGTGCCACATTGCCACATCACAGTCTTGCATGCCACTCTGAAGGATTTAGATGTTGTTTTGTATTTTTTTCCCATTAATTTTATAAGCAGAAGAACAGAGAGAGACAAAAAGATTAAGAAAGCTCCCATCCTCTAGTGGACTCCTCAGATGCATGCAATGGAAGGGGCTGAGCCAGGGCTGAAGTTGGGAGCTGTCACTCCAGTCCAGCTCCCTGCTGTTACCGTAGGGCCCACCCATTTGAAGCCGTGGCTGCTGCCTCCAGGATACATTAGCAGGAACTGGAAGCAGGAGCAAAACCAGACTTGAACCCAGGCGCTGCAGTGTGAGACATGGGTGTCCCAGCTGGCATCTTAGCCACTGCCTTCTGGTTGCCAGGCAAACAAGCAACACTTTCAGATACTTGTTTAACTAAGGAGGAAGTTAGAAGGACTAGAGAGAAAAATTAGAAAATTCTTAATCATTCAAGTAAGAAATGACAAGCTAAAATATACAGCAGAGTAGTGACATGAAAATTGCCTTAAATGATATTTCAGAAAAGATAAGGGCTCAGAGACCTTTTGACGCATTGTTGATGAAAAGGGGCAAAACAGAGTTTGAACTTGGGAACCAATCTCAATGCTATGATTATACTTACTTAAATAAGAAAAGTGTGTGTTGGAGCCAGTGCTGCAGCATAGTGGATTAAAATGCTGATTCCAGTGCCTGTATCCCATTGGGCAGTGGTTCAGTCCCAGCTGTTCCACTTTCAATGCAGCTCTCCACTAATCCACCTGGGAAAGCATAGGAGGAAGGACCAGTTCCATGAGCCCCTCTACTTGCATGGGAGACCAGAATGAAGCACGGGGCTTCAGTTTGGCTCAGTTCCGATTGAAGAACTGTTTAAGGAATGAACCAGCAAATGGCATATCTTTCTCTCCCTCTCTGTAACTCTGCCTTTCAAATAAATAAATCTTTTTTTTTTTTTTAAAAGTATCTTCAGGGAAGATTAACTGCTAAAGCTGGGATATAGCTACTGGTTATAAATGAAAATATTTCTAAAAGTTTGTGGATAAGTGCAATTGAAACATGTTTTTAAAATTGTATGTAAAATTTTATTGATGTCCATGTGTCTCTTTCATAAGATGGCTTTATGAACTTTTTGAATATTCTTCAATTTCAAAATTGTTTGTGTCAAATATCTTTCCATGAACTTCTTCAAGTGCCCCCTTATAATCTTGGAACATTAAATCTGTTGGGAATGTCCAGGACTACCCAGAGGAAGCATGAAAGCAGGAGAACAAATCCTTGCACTAGACAAATTTCTTGTTCCTACCTTGTCTTACCCTTTAAGGTTCTGTTTTACAGTCTCTTCTGTAATACTTGGTGTAATTTTTTGTGTTTGAGAAGGCTTTCAATGTTCATTATATTATATTGAAAGCTAGGAAATGGTTTCCAGACAGACATATGAACTGCAAACTATAAAGGACCTTACTTTATTGTGATAAGGTATGTTTTTTAAAGTAATAATTGTATCATTTTCAGTTTTAAAATATGCATGAAGACATGCTTATTGCAGATAACTGGTTATAAACAACTCTATTTGGATGTGGAAAGTGTGAGAAAAAGGCCATATGATTCTGAGAATGCACAGCATGAAAAACTGCTCCTAAAGGTAAATTCTGCTTGTTTTATTTGGAGTTGCTGGACACTTAGGAAAATCAGACTTGAACTGAGTAATGTCTGTGTGCAAATTCTAGATGCTTGTGGTAGCCATTTGGTTTCTCTGCCCTGTGGAGATAGAGAAGTATTTTTTATGAACAAATTTTTGTTTTTCTGGTAAGTGCCATCAAAATGTATCCCAGTAAATATTACTGTAATGTTTTAAAATCTGAAATGTAAATTTATGAAGGAAGTATTTATTCAATCAAAATGTATGGGCACACAAGACTCAGATTTTTGCCCTTGCCTGTGTCTGTATGTGAATTAGTAATATGAATTGGGCATTTTGGGTGATACTTTCAAATTGTGAACATGAATGTCTCTTCAGAGTATTATGTTGGCTCTTTTGCAACTTATAGAATAAACAATAGCCAGCTGATTCCACAGCTTAAAACATTGTGAAAATTTTAGAAGAACATGGAAATCTTTGTTGTTTCTGAATCATAAATGCCTAAGGACAGTGAGGTGCTGGAATTCTAGAGGACTGAACTCCGGGTTATCTTCCCTTACCATGTAGGGTAGAACCGAAGCCGCCAGAAAGAAAGGTGAACAGTCAGCTGGATCTCTGCCCATCCTCTGCACTTCTTGTATTTGTATTTTAAAATAGTTGACACCCATTGAACTGTCCGTGTGGAGTCAGCTGCACCTGCAGTTATCAGTGTGTTAGAACCAAAATTGCTATGGAATGAAGCATTGATGCTAGCTAAGTGACAGTGACTCAAGGTTAAACAACACAACTTTTTTTTTTTTAGGAGAAGTATAAAATAGGTGCTTTATTCGTTGTAAAATTAAGCTACAACTTGAATTTGTAAAATTGGGATAATAAACAGCATCTCAAAGGACACATTTTACGGATTGCGCTTTTATCTTTGAACCTCTTAAATACTGTTCAGTGTAAAGCATTACTTTTAACTGATAGTGTGGCACACATTGAGGATGCATCGCTGCTTGCATCCTATTGTTATTATCTCCTTAACCTCAGGCTTTGTCTCTGTGATTCTGTGGAGGAGTAAGATGGAAGTCTTTACATTCTACTCAGGGTTTTTTCCCTTGGATGACACACGATGAAACCCAGCTTCCGGAGGAAGAGCTAGTGGTTGGCGTAATGACCCGGCTGCTGTGGTCCTCAGTCATCTCCCAGGGCCAGAGGGCTGTGGTCCAGGCCACTGTCAGTGCAGTTCTGGGAGCACCTTATCTCACATTAGCCAGGGTTTTCATCATTAGATTCCAGAGTGCCACCTTGGCTCTGATGCAGTCAGAATCTTCAAGGGTGCAGCAGAGAAATTTAATTTAAAGCCAAAAATTTTAGGAGAGTGGCTTTGCACTGCAGCTGTTACCACATCCTTGTGTGATATCGCTGGCAAACTCCTTGCTGAGATCTTTGGGAGATGCTAATGTGAGCACATCACAGGTTTGTTGTTAAATGTAGGACCCAGATTTAGCTTCTGAGCCAGAGTCCTGAGCCTATTGTAAAGCAAGGTTACAAAGCTTCACAGTTTATCCTAGGAGACAGTGTACTGGTTTCATGAGGAGTGCTTTTCACAGCACTACTTCAGTTGGTAGTGAAAAGGGAAAAAATGCTAGTGTTCCCATTTTATTAAATCTCACAAACTTTTTTTAACTTCGGTTAAATCTTTTTGTTTAATGATTTACACTATTGAATTTGGAAAACTACCAGGTTTTCTTTATTTTGCACCTATTTTTTGATGTTTAATATTTGGTATTCTTAAATCTTCAGCCTTAATAAAGCTTAAATCTATTTAAAACCAAGGTATTTCTTCTTTTCAAGTAAAATTTATTAAATACTGATATTGGTTGGAATATTAGCAGTATCTCTTCTTCAAGAACCCTGTTTTGTTCTTCGTTTCTTCTGATTAAGAGCTAACCATATCCCCCAACATAATACAGCCTATTGAGTGTAGAATGTCTGAACCAAGGCCCAAATGCATAAAACTGTGTTTTTCTCAAGCAAGCAGCTTACCAGTTATGGTCTCTAAATATTACCTAGTAATTAAAGATGTTGATTTAGATTTTTATATATTGTTTATACCCTTTTCAGAAATCTTTTCTTCATATTGCTCTTTTTAAATGAAATAAATGTGCCATTTTTTGGTATAGTTAAATAGTTTTCCTGATATAATCTTTGTTGAACCTGAACCTGTCATTTTTTTACATAAGTTGTTTAACTGAAGGCATTCAGTTAGTATCTGTATGACAAAGAAAAAGGAGAATGTTTTGGTAAGGAAGAACATGAGTATTACTTGTAATATGGAAGCATATGTGTACAGCTTTGGAACCTGCTGATGCCCACGAAGAAGCTGAAGGCGAGAATCTCCAAGCAGTGGGCTGACATTGGTTTCCAGGGCGACGACCCCAAAACAGACTTCAGAGGCATGGGGATCCTTGGCTTAATCAACCTAGTGTGAGTGCAAATGCTTTGTTTCCTTCTCTAGTGGTAATACATAAATCGCAAGTCTTAATTCAGTTCTGTAAGAATCAATCCAGCCATTTCATACTCTCTGAATGTTAACAGTTGCAGTTCTAGACGTGCTTGCTAGCCTAGTGGCAACAATATGAAGACACTGGAAATAGGCCAGTGTGTGTGTGTGAGTGAGTGATTTCTCATGTTTTTTCTCTTCTCATAGTTCCACATAATTACATATACTCTTTTCTTACTGTTTGTATCCCCCTTGTTTCACCTCTGGGGACTCTCAGTACCTTTGATGAGGTAGAACCAGAGCAGTTGATCAAGTGCATTCATAACTAATCCCTTTACGACAGTGTGTCAGTAGATCCAAATCTGACTTCGTAGTACCTGCCTGAACTCTGTCTCCTTTTCCTTTTTTAATTCTTTTGACTGGGTAATTGCGTGAAATGCTGAAAGACCTGAAGCAATTGATATGCAAACTATTCTGCAGGATAAACTGGGAGATTACTTTCCTCTTGCAAAGATTTGAAAATGTGTAGATAAGTGTTCATGTTTGGATCTGTATATGAATTGTGATTTGAGGAGTATGAAACATGTCAGGTGGGAAACCCAGTCATTAAACTTTGGATAGTCTTTACTATGAAAAATACCTGGAATTGAACTGTGCTAACATTGAGTAAAGCATACTTAGATACTTTGGAGATGGCTATTCTGGGGAAAATATAAAGCAATATGGTAGGATTTCAATATTGATAATTTTGTCCATCAAAATGCTATTAAATACATCAATACTTAATTTTATATGCTATCTGAATTTTACGTGCATAAATTTCCACATAATTCTATTTCTAAACAAGTCAACAACCTTCAAAATATAACTTCAAAAAATTGTTAGTGTCTGCCAAAAGAGAAATTAAAGTTTATATAATTCAGTAAGATTTGATTCTAGACTGTCATAAGGGATTCTGGTAGACCTTTAAATGACATAAATATTTGCACCCTATTTAGAACTCATATCAACTGATTTGAAAAACCATGATTCATGTATATTTTAATAATTATTTCGCTGCCCAAACTGAAATATAGTAAAAAGCAAAATTAGCTCTGATGCCTCTATAATTTTAGTTGTTGTCTTAAATGTGGAGCTATGACACTTCAGGATAAAAATGCACAAAGAAGAGATAGCTGTTAAAATATGCTTATACAATTTACATTTTAAAGATTTTTAGCCTTTTCATTATGTAATCTTTTAAAAAATGAAATTACTTATTTACTCAAAAAAGTTATGGGATATGGGGACAGGGAAGAAACAGGTCTTCCATCCACTGGTTCACTTCCCAAGTGGCCACAGTGGCTGTAACTGGGCTGGTCTGAAGCCAGGAGCAGGCAGCTTCCTCCGGGGCTCCCGTGTAGATGCAGAGATCCAAGAACTTGAGTCAACCTCTACTGCTTCCCCAGGCCATTAGCAGGGAGCTGGATCGGAAGTGGAGCAGCTGGGACTTGAATGATAGAGCACATGGGCTGCCAGCACTTCCAGGAGCAGCTTTACCTATGCTGCCTCAGCTCTGGCCTCTGTCATAATTTTGAGAAGCACTCTTGCATTGAAGGAAAACTGGTGGTTTGAAAAATTGCAAGGCTTTGGAAAGTAATGCTGTGGCAGATGTAAAAGAAAAGTTTGCTGTACAGAAATTAATTCAAAATAATTAAAATTGAATAGATACAGAACAGGAATAATAAAGTTAAAAAATATGGAATGCAAGGCAAGAAATTGATATAGAAAGGGAGGAAAGGAAGAAAGAAAAGGAAAAAAGAAGCAAGGGAAGATGTACTGTAAAGAATAGTCTTTATTGCTTAAATACATAATTTTCGCCAGTAAGAATTTTTAAGATAAGAGTTAGCTAAGTAAATTGAGCAACGAGCTCAAAAGGTGCTCTATATCATAGTTGGAATTTTTTCCAATTTCTTGATTGATTTTTACTTGCTTGAAATACAAAGCAGTAAACTAGTCTTCAACTGCTGATTACTCCTCAAATGCCTGCAAGTCCCAGGCCTGAGTCAGGCAGAAGCCAGGAACTGGAAACCCAGTTTGGATCACTCACAGGGATGGCCAGTACTCAAAGTACTTAAGACATCATCGTGCCTTAATGCTCATTAGCAGAAAACTGGAGTTAGACATGGAGACTGGACTTGAAGCCAAACACTCCGATAGGGAATGTGGTATCCTAACTGGTTAGTGCACCAAACGCCCACCTCGAGACTGACTAGTTTAAGAGTAGTTTGAAGGGCCAGTGTTGCGGTGTAGCAGATAAAACCACAGTCCTTCATGCTGACATCACATATGGCAGCAGTTTGAATCACAACTGCTCATCTTCCCTTTCAACTTCTTGTTAATGGCCTAAAAAGGCAGCAGAAGGTAGCGCAGAGTGCTTAGGCCCCTGCCACCCACACTGCGTGACCTAGGTTGAAGCTCCTGGCTACTGCCTGGCTCAGCTCTGGCCATTGCAACTGTTTGGGGAGCATACCAGCGGATGGAAGATGTCTCTCCACCCTCCACCCTTTACTCTTTCAAATAAGTGAGATTCATAGTAACTTAACTATTAAAATACTGATATGGTACTGAATTGTGTTCATATACAAAAATGTAAGTAATCTACTCAGGACATTTTAGAGTCCATCCAGAAGTAAAACAGAAAATTTGAGGTATTTGGAAAATATGCAAAGCAAGACTTTTTATTCATTTTGGAATTATACATTCCTTTGAGGATCTGAAGAAAGCTCTGTTTATTTTTTCTACAGAAAATGCACATGCAATAATATTTGCACAACATTTAAGGTGATTCAGGGGTCCCCTTGCATTTTTAAATGAGCCTTAATTTATACCTTCTAAGTTAACATCCCTGGTTTAATCAGTTGAAAAATAAAGCCAGCAGCGGAAGACAGAAGTATTTAGTAACGGGCCCGGCAAAGTGGCCTAGCAACTAAAGTCTGCATCTTGAATGTGCCAGGATCACATATGGGCACTGGTTCTAATCCCGACAGGCTCGCTTCCCATCCAGTTCCCTGCTTGTGGCCTGGGAAGGCAGTAGAGGATAGCCCAAAGTCTTGGGATCCTGCACCCTCGTGGGAGACCCAGAGGAAGTTCCTGGCTCCTGACCTCAGGATTGATGCAGCTCCAGCTGTTGTGGCCACTTGGGGAGTGAATCAATGGACATAAGATCTTCCACTCTGTCTCTCTTCCTCTTTCTATATCTGACTTTCCAATAAAAATAAATCTTTAAAAAAATAGAAGAAAAATTGAGGGGAGTAATTTACTTAAATTATCTAAATTACTTTCAGTAATTCAAATTAATTTATGAGAATCTCAATCATTGTTTCCTCCAAAATTTAGGTAAACTATAAAAATCCATTTGTTTCTGTTTTTCATCAACTTCTGAACACTGCGTGTGTGTGAGAAGGAGAGCGACAGAAAGAGCAACACTAGTGTATTCTGAAAAGAACGAAAGAGTGAAGATAATCAGTCCTTATCTTTCTTTAAGAAGTTAGGTTAGTGTAGGTCGAAAGGCTTTGTGAGCCTACAGAGAGCTTAATGTATTTCTCTTGTATCTTCCACGTTATACCATTGATCAAGGAGGTATTTTTAAATGCAATAGGTAGGTTATTGAGTTTGGGTTTTTTTTTTTCTGATTGTGGCAGTAATATAAACCTAAGTTAATAGAAGAAGTAAGCCAATATGAAAAGAGAAATGATCTAACACATGCCTATTGACTATCATAGGAGTAGAACCAGCAAAAACACTGCTGAAGGTTGTTTTTTTTTTTTAAGTATTTTGGAAGTCTGTTTTTGGATTTCGTATTCGTTAAAATATCTTACAGGCTGTTTCTCTACCAGAAGGCATAATAGCTTGGTATTAAAGTTTGATTCAGAAATATTTATGTTGTTATGAGATGGAGATTATTATGGTGGTATTAGGACATTCATTTTGATGGTAGTTTAAATTCTGGATATTAAAGTTTGGATGATACATGTTCATTGAATTATCTTTCTTAAACGTTTTTAGGTATTTCAGTGAAAATTACACCAATGAAGCTCATCAGATTCTTTCCCGTTCAAATCATCCAAAATTAGGGTAAGATTGTGTAATTAAAACTCTATAAAGAACAAAATACAACACATTGTTTTTAAGGAAAAAAATGTGATCATAAGCCAGCTTTGAATGAATCTCAACATATTTTTATCACAATATAGAAAGTGGAGATAGAGGCCTTTATAAAAATAGATTAGAAAATTGGAATGAAAAATGACTTTGGGCCCTGGAGCGGTAGCCTAGTGGGTAAAATCCTTGCTTTACCCGTGCTGGAATCCCATTTGGGCACCAGTTTGTGTCCCGGCCACCCCGCTTCCCATCCAGCTCCCTGCTTGTGGCCTGAGAGGAACTCGAGGACAGCCCAAAGCTGTAGGACCCTGCACCCACGTGGGAGACCCAGAAGAAGCTCCTGACTCCTGGTTTTGGATTGGCTCAGCTCCAGCCATTGCGGCTGCTTGGGGAGTGCATGACCAGATGGAAGATGTTCGTCTCTGTCTCTCCTCCTCTCTGTATATGTGACTTTCCAGTAAAAATAAATATTTAAATTATAATATTAAAAAAAGAAAAATGACTTTAAAATGTGAAAACAAAATTTAAGAATTACAATGTCAAATGCAGATGAAGGTCTTGTTTTTAGAGATCCTATATTTATTTATTTTTAAGATTTATTTATTTTTATTGGAAAGGCAGATATACAGAGAGGAGGAAAGACAGAGGGGAAGATCTTCTGTCCAATGATGTACTCCCTTAGTGACCACAATGGCCAGTACTGCGCTGATCCGAAGCCAGGAAACTGGAGCTCTTCCGGGTCTCCCACACGAGTGCAGGGTCACAAGGCTTTGGGCCATTCTTGAGTGCTTTCCCAGGCCACAAGCAGGGAGCTGGATGGGAAGCAAGGCTGTCAAGATTAGAACCGGTGGCCATATGGGATCCCGGCGCATGCAAGGTGAGGACTTCAACCTCTACGCTATCACTCTGGGCCCATGATACTATTTTTACATTCTGATACCTAATGTTTGAAAAAAGTGTTGGATCAGAAAAACAAATATTCTGAAAATAGAGAAGAAATGCCAGATGCCTATTTTAGGAAGTATTGAGGTTTATTCTGTGTAGTTATGTTTCTCTAAGATTTTTTATTTTAGATATTATGTGAACAGAGCTTTATTTTTATTTCCTGGATTATTTCCAGAAAAGTAAAGGTCTTTTAAAAGTACAGTATTTGAATCCATTCTGATTCCTTTTTCTTTACTGTGTAAGAAAAATAAGAATTGTCATAAATTTGGTAACTGCTGGAAATGGAACAGTCACCTTTTACTGCTTCCTTGTGTGAGTCACCTTTATGTTTTGAGCACTGTGGCTAGCTGGTATAACTGGTGATGTTTCTGACATAGGTATTCTTATGCAATAGTTGGCATCAACCTTACTGAAATGGCTTATAGCTTACTGAAGAGTGAAGCTTTGAAGTTTCACCTCTACAACTTTGTCCCCGGGATACCAACAATGGAACACTTCCATCAGTTTTATTGTGAGTACAAAAATGAGTTAAATCTGACTCCGAGAGGAAACTGTTAGAAAGATACATATTTTAACCCAGTACTTCTGTGAGCTGTTCATTACTTTATTTAGAATTTTGGAAAACAGGAAAATAATGGAAGGTGAATCCCCAAGTATGTATTATTATATCAGTTTTTGTATTTGCCTATTTAAAAATGTTGCTATTTTGTCTTTCTTTAACCACAGGTTATCTTGTCTATGAATTTGACAAGTTTTGGTTTGAAGAAGAACCAGAAAGCATTATGTATTTCAACCTGTATAGAGAGAAGTTTCATGAAAGGATTAAAGGACTCCTAATGGATTGTAATGTAGCACTTACTTTAAAAATGTAAATTACCCATAGTATCTTCTATTTCTACCACATTTTGCACACACTGACAGAATTTATATGTTGTAATAGAAATTATCTGATCAACTACACTCTTATATATAATTTCCTACAAAAATACTTCAGAAATTCTATTTAAGAAAGCTAGTGGACAATCAGTGTATGTTTACAATTGTTTATACACTGTTCTCCAAAGGTACCTTATCTTTCCAAAGATCCCTTCTGTAGGGTCGTGTGGACTACAGTTTGGAGCTTGGGATTTAGCCCATTGGTGTAAAAGTACAAATCAGGTATTTATGTTAGATTGGTTGATGAAAACGTATACTAATCACTTTTTGTTTTTATATGTTGTGACTGTCAGGTTGATATTGTTTTCAAGGCTTTTTAAATAATTTTTTTTTAAATCTAGAATTAATTTTCTTTGTCTTACTTCTGTGTTTATTAGTAGCAGGAATTGTGTTTCTGTGTATTAATAGCAAGAGTAGTGCATCTCAATCACTTGTCCTAATGTTGCTTCGTTACTAGCAGCAGGAACATAAAAATAACGGGAGGATCAATAACCATGGCCTTCCCTTTTGGTTTATCTGATTATTGAGTATAACAGAATGAGGAATGACAGCGTTGGTGACTAGCTTTTGTTTTTAAACAACACACCTTGAAATACCACAGTGTTATTTCATAACTTAAAGCCATTTTCTTGTCTTCAGTATTTGCTTTTTATCAGTTGTAGAAAAAAAACCTTAGTACATGGTGGAAAGGCTTTTATGAAGCTCCTCCACTTGTATTTATTTAAAAGGGATGAATTTGACCGAAAGGAAAAAAAAAAAAAAAACTTCATTGCATTTAAGACAGTTTAGCTGTCTTTGAATCTTAAACAGGAAAGTCTGAAGCTGTTTAATAATCTTGGTTAGCATCACCAGTTTGACCATTAACTCTTGCTTCTGTCTATTTTGACTGCATGGTGTTTGGAATTGGTGATGTGGAGTTATTAGCAGTCTGCAACACTGAAGTAGCTTGAGGACAGTGACTGTCCATTTTTTATAGCTTTATTCTCCTAAAATCTCAGGAGGGCAGTGAGGGCTGCCAAGGATGGTACAGTGAGGAGGTTCTAGGTAGAGCAATTTCTTGATGTGTTTAGATGTTTATACTCACAGCAAAATTGAGAAGTTAAAGGGCCAGGAAACTTCACTGGATTATGCAAGTCCTCCTTAAATCTTACAGAGACCAGTTAGAAAAATTCACTGGAAAACATGTTGATCATTAGTACATTGTTTCAATGCAGTATTGCCAAGTGTTTTTTAAAGGACTGGTTTGTATGTGACCGCAGCAGGACTTGAAACTTTTGAAGCATTTGCTCATGTGCATTGATAAATCTCTCTTTAAACCTGTCAGAGAGAAGAATGATCAGAAATATTCTGTTGAAAGATAACAGGTGCAGTGTGGTATAACACATCCAGTAGAAGTGCAAATTATTATTTTCTCAGTTAAACGATATTATCTTTAAACTTTAATAGTGATGTTTTAGCTTTTCAGTATTACAGAAATTCAAAAATTGGTTTCTAATAGGTGACTTCTCAACCTTAAGATGGTCTTCATTTAATTTGTCAAAAATGTTCATGCTTTACTATCCAGCAAGGGTGTTAATGATGTGTAGCAGAATCCTGACAACAATCAAGTGGTAGCCATTAACATTCACCATATTTTGTTGTTAACTTGTACATGGAAAGCAGTCCTTTCAGTATTTTTATTTTTGTGCAGAAGTACTTAACATTTATAGTTTGATTTTTCAGCAGCTGGGATCTTGGAGTTATTTAGTCTTGTCAGTTTACTTACTAAAAAAAGATGTTTAAAGTATATAGAAAGGAAAATTTTCAAATAATTTTTCCCTTTCTCGGGAGAAAGAAAATTAAGAAAATGTTATAAAATTTGTTCGGTGATACATTCCTTAAATCCATCTGTTTGTACTTCAGAGATGTTGTCACTTTCACATAAAATAATCAATAACTATTTCACATAGTTCTGTAGCAAACTGATGTAAAAAGATGCCAACAGATTCTAAGGCTTTATACTTAGAAACCAAGTTAAGTGTCACCAAGTATAAATTAGAATGTAATAGGAGCCTTCTGACTTATGTGTAATAGTGGTATACATGGAAAGAAAAATACCATTGTGTCTGCTTTCCTATTTTCCCTTACTTTGAACATGTGTATGTTAGAATTTTTTGTAATCTTTTAAAATACATTTTTAGAAGCTTGTTTCTATAATAATAAAATGCCACGGTAGTGATAGAATGTTATGGCATTGAAGTAGCAGGAAAAATATATTCGTTTTAGGTTCAAAAAAATGAATCTGTATTGAAATGAATTTTGTACATACCAGATTAAGGAGTGTGTGCCAGTAGCAAAAATAGTCTAAAAATGTAGCAGTTAAGGTTTAAATATGTTCTGAGAGACAATCTTAAAGAAATGGGAGAAGTTAGGGGCATCAATGAACTTAGACCAATCTGACTTTGTTCATAAATGTGGTGACATAATACAGTATAAAAATCAGTGTCTTACTGGCACCATCAGCAATTTGAAAAATGAGATCATTATGATTTTACTTCTATCTTCTGAACCATTTGGATTTGTACATATTTTTCCACATGGAATTATATGTACTACTTATTCTGAGTCTGGTGCATGTAATTGTTTATGTACTATTTCTCCCCTTTGAGAATGTTCTGTGAAATAGAACTTCATCGAAGACCTGCCGAAAGGAAACACATCACAGGAGTGTGAAAGTGGGTGCTCATTGCTAGAACAGAGAAAAAATTACAGGTGACTACAGCCTGGAAGGGTGGGGTTTGGCTTGGAGTGGTTGTTGATTATCATTCTTGAGACTGTGACAAGGGACCAGCTGTATTCTCAGGACAAATGTTCTACTCCATTCTTCTGTGAACAAGTGTAGAGAGATTTTAATTTCCATTGTCTTATTTAAGAACCCCTCTGCACAAGAAATGTTTGAAATGAAGCTTAGCAGGATTGTCCAGACCTGAGGGAAATCATGAGTTAAAGTTGTTTTTAAATGTTTTTTTCCTGTCTTCAGCTGTTGATAAGAAAAAAATTACATGTAATACAAGTGAAACCCAAGTACTTCCTTACCACTGTAGGATGATTCTGGTTCTGGTTGAGTATTCAATCCCTGAAGCAGCATTCCCTGAGGAAAAGGTCCTGGTTGGCAATTGTAAATGTGTGATTTCTGTCTACTTTGGATAAAGCAATTGACTTCTTAAGTAAAAGCAATAGTGTGAAACGTGATGTCGTTTTATTTGGAATGTTAAGTGAGCAAATAAAAACTGTCTGAATCACTGTCAGCCTTCCTGTAGCTACTTCTGCCTGCTTTTATCCCGCCCATCCCTATGTAAGTCAGCTGCGTACACAGAGCAGCTTTTCTTATTTAATCCTCTAATTGTGTCACTGTACCTAAGTTGAAAATACAGATTTTTTTAATTTTTATCATCTCAACTGCCAATTACCTGTTTAAGATAGTGAATAAGAGTAATTGGTTATGAGCAAAAATGTCCTACTGTTGAAAGAACCTACTATCTCCATCATTTGCTCATTTATACAGATAGGAATAGTTCATTCTACACTTACTCTTTTGTCTCAGTGTGTCTTGGATTCATTTAAACATTTTTACATGGGTCCATATACATATATGTTTATCTGTTTGACGTAGAAGGCCTTGCAAGAAAAAAAAATAGGGAAAAGTGCCAGGGAGGTTACACTGATTCATCCACTAAAAACCCTGCAGTTATAGCTTGCATCTTCCTCCACCTGTGACACCCATATCCCTTATGCTTGTCTGAGTCCTGGCTGCTTCACCTCCCTTCCCATGCAGCTCCCCGCTTGTGACCTGGGAAAGCAGTCAATGACAGCCCAATGTCTTGGAACCCTCCACCTGTGTGGGAGACCCAGAAGAAGCTCCTGGCTCCAGGCCCCTGGCCTCAGATCAACCTGGCTTCCACCATTGAGGCCTCTTGAGGAGTGAACTGTCAGGTGGAAGATCTTTCTGCCTCTCTTGTTTGTTTGTTTTATTTTGTTTGTTGTCCTCTTTTTTTTTTAAATTAATTTTTACTGTAAAGTCAGATATACAGAGAAGAGGAGAGACAGAAGGAAGACCCTCCGTTCGATGACTCACTACCCAAGTGACCAGTGCTGCGCTGATCCAAAGCCAGGAGCCAGGAACTTCCTCCCGGTTTCCTACATGGGTGCAGGGTCCCAACGCCTTGGGCCATCCTCTGCTGCTTCCCCAGGCTACAAGCAGGAAGCTGAATGGGAAGTGGGGCTGCCGGGATTAGAACCAGCACCCATATGGGATGCTAGCGTGTTCAAAGTGAGGACTTTAGCTGCTAGGACATAGTGCCGGGCCCTGTTTTCCTCTTTCTATAAATCTTTTTTTTTAAATGATATGACAAGGACAGTCAGAAAATTATGGCGGTGTCAACTTGGGTACAACAATCACAAGCAAAGTATTAGCATGATGAATCTAGAATATAATAAAGTTTAACATTAAATGTTATTTAGATCTACAATTATCGGTTACTGTTTTGAGATCAGTTGTGACTAAGTTTGATTAATGCCCAGAATAAATTTGATTATTTTCCACATTACCGTATGAAAATTATATGATCTTTGGTGCAAAGAAAAACATTTGATAAAAATTCTTTGGTTTAACAAATTAAAAAACGTAATTAGTTTTATTCAAGTATTTGAGATGTACCAAACATACTTAATGATAAACCATTGGGATCAATGTAACAATTTATCACCACTTCCAGAAACAAGCTATTGACCTAATACCAATGCATAACAATAAGCTGTTCCCAGTTATGAAGAAAATATCAGTAGTATAAAAGCATTGCTGCACATCAGTGGGCTCCGTAGCCCTTCCGAGGTCTGCCAGGGCCACAGATTTACAAGCAGTTCCAGGCAGTTGAGTGTTTTCTGGACTGGGACCAGTGGGCTACCCTCTCAATGCTCTGTGCATAATCATTTTGGAAGAAACAAGAATGAACTCAGTTGCTCAGACAGTTCTTCCAAAAGTTCATGGAAATGGAATTAACATTTATTTTGATGCCAAATTCTTTTTAAACCCATGCACTGTTTTCATGATACCACATTTGCCATAAACTCTGGAAAACTTTGTATGTCAAACCTTTGCTCACAGTTCGACTAACATTGCCAGTCATATGGCCAAGGCAAACAGTGGGGCAGGAAATGCATATACTCTGCTAGGAACAGGAGAGAAGTGAGTACTTGGGGAGTAAATCCAGTTGTCACAGGACATCTTTTGTGTATCATCCTAGACGGTACAGTAAGACAAATGAAAGAAAAGTTAAATTCCCAGATGACAAATGCCTACGTGAACAGTTCAGAAGATAGCATCACTGTGTGTTACAGAGTTTTGTCAATACTATCTCACTTTGCAATTGCATTAACTGAGCCAAGATCTAATGGTGCACATTTTCCCAGCCATTCAAGTGTGCCATGAACAGATAAACAGTGCTACTGCGGTGGCCAGAGGTATGCCAGCAGAAAGGCCAGCATGCACTCAAGTGGTGAGGACAAAACGGTAGGTCCAGAGATACTCTTACCCCTAACCAATAAGGAGCCATGAGATCAGGGGGACAGACCACAGGAATAAATGCCACCTGGAACTGACTCAAATCCTTGTAGAGGAAGGCCTGGGGACAGTCTGCATGCAGCCCTAATTTGGGGTGTAAATGAAGGCTGGGCGGTGTCTTAGACCTTCATCTGCACTCAGTAAGCATGGGACGGGTTACTATAGGTGATGAGAGTGACTTCACTGGAAAGATGCAATGAATCCTACTGATTTCTTCTGATTTATCCATTGTGCTACTGACCCTGTGCTCTACTCACTTTCTTGAATGACCTAAGTCCTTCTCAGTTTCCCGTCCCCAAAGGTTCTTTCAGGCTCTGTACGTGATCTTAGCCAAAAGGTCGAGAAGCGATCCTTCAAGCTCTAAAATGATTTGATTCTACGATGGAAACCATGACTATGAATCAGTAAAATTCTTTAAAAATTATTGATTCAATGTAATGTGGACTGTATAAACTTAAGAACCTGTGTTAACATTTGTAATGATTTCTGGCTATTGATTCTAAAGAACTGTGCAGGCTCTTACTTTTATATTCTGGGTGAACTCGACTCTTTCATCCAGGTAGAGATTCCAAAAGACAAACTTTGGAAGGTATTAGCAGTACTTTATTGAATATAATAGTTGGCAATGTGGTTAATAAATAGAAACTAATTTTTTATAACTTCACTTGAAAGTGTTCATGAAATGCATTCCACTCAAGTTTTCCTTTATCATCAGTTTGAAATAAAATATATAAATGTTCTTCATATTTAGTTCTACCATCCCACCCCCAACATGGCTGATCAAGTGCTGCCACTTATCTGGGTTATACGTGTGCCAGGGTGTGTTTTGTGTTCTCCCCCTTAAGGCACTCATAATAAAAGTATACTAGTTAGGTCTTGATCTTCCTCTTTAAAAGGTCAAACACTCAGTACTAAGATTGCTGAAGTTTTTAGGGTAAAATAACAGTGGACAGTGTTTTATTTCTTGATGACCTGGGCAGCAAAGATCCCCCTGGGTAGGTAGTATCATGTCCTTGTAGCTTATTATGTGGCACAGTCCACCGTCTGCCTGGACTTCATCAGTTCACGCTTCAGCTTTTCAAAGCACACAAACATAATGACATTCCACGAGGCGAGTCGCAGAAAGGAAGGTGCAAATCTAGAAAAGAACATGTCACCAGTCTGTTAGCTTTATTGAAACTCTTAAAGCTGTGGTACAGGCAATTTATGCATCTCTTATTGCCCCCTTCTCAATTAAGATGCTTTAAGATACGTAGCCCTCATCTTTTCCTCCACTGGCAAAAACTGTTTCCTACACAGCTTCAAAACGAAATCCTGAAAATCCCACCCATATAAATCCATAAGCATCTCAATTTGAAAAGTGATATCTTTCATCCACTATCTCGTACCCCAGATGCCTGTGACAGCTGGGGCCGAGTCAAGCCAAAGCCAAGAACTCGAAAACTCAGATCTGAGTTTGCCTCACGTCATGGAACCAAGCGCTTAATCCATCACTGCCATCTAGGATTCAAATCAGCAGGAAGCTGGATTGGAAGTATATAGCCGAGACTTGAACCACCCCTCTTTTAATTGGTATAGATGTTCCAAGCAGCGGTTTAACTTGCTGAGCCACAAAGCCAGCTCCTCTTGCCTTCTTTTCCAAGGGCAGAGGAAATTTTTGTTTTGTTTTGCTTTGCTTCCTGAATAAGAAGTAGAAGACAGTTAAGGGCCCAGCGTAGTACCTAGCAGCTGAAGTCCTCACCTTGAACACACCCGGATCCTATTTGGGCAGCAGTTCTAATCCATTCAGCTCCGCTTCCCACCTAGCTCTTTGATCGTGGCCTGGGAAAGCAGTTGAGGATGGCCCAAAGCTTTGGGGCCCTGCCCTTGCGTGGGAGACCTGGAAGAAGCTCCTGGCTCCTGACTTTAGATTGGCTCAGCTCTGGCTGTTGCAACCTCTTGGGGAGTGAATCAACAGAAGATCTTCCTCTCTGTCTCTCCTCTGTATATCTGACTTTACAATAAAAATTTTAAAAACTTTAAAGTAGGAGGGAGACAAATGGAGGAAGCACATGATGAATTAAGTGGATCAATTTCTGAGGCAAGAATCATTTTTCATGTCAGCATTGTCACAGAGCGTCTTAAGTTGCTGCTTGGGAATGCCAGGTGAAGCCCCGACTCTGCTAGTCCAGCTTCCAACTGATGCATCCTGGGAGGCAGCAGGTGATGGAACAAGTACCAGGGGCCCTAACATCCATGCGTGAGATTAGGATGAGGTTCCTGGTTCTTGGCATTGGCCTGACCCAGCCTTGGCTGTTAGAGGCATCTGGGGAGTGAATCAGGGGGTAGATGATATACATATATTTTTTTCACATCTGTTTGTTTGAAGGTCAGAATTACACAGAGAAAGGAAGAGACAGATCTTCCATCACTGGTTCAATTCCCATACAGCTGCAATGGCCAAGATTGGGTCAGGCTAAAGCCAACAGATTAGTTTTTCCAGATCTCCCATGTCAGTGCAGGGGCCCAAACATTTGTACCATCCACTACTGCTTTCACAGGCATATTAGCAGGGAGCTGGATCAGAAGTGGCACACTGGGACTTGAACTGGTGTGGGATGCCAGAATCACAGGCGGCAGCTTTGCCCACTATGTCACAATGCTGGGCCCTGGATGATCTCTTACTCTTATCCATGCTTGTCCCTTCAAGTAGTTGAGGATAAATAAACATGAAAACAGTGTTTCGTCCATTTTAGCAGCCCTTGTCCTAGACTCTCAAGGGTCTAAATTGGCCTCATTTTGGTTTACTTTAGGGCAATGATTTTTAAGAATTCCATCTAACTGCACAGACCTAATGACTAATTTTGAGTATGTATCTGCAGCAATGAACTCCTGGCTTGAGATCAGTTCAGCTCTGGCCATTACAGTCATTTGGAGAGGGAACCAGCAGGTGGAAGACCTCTCTTTCTGTCTCTCTCTGTGAAATCTGCCTCTCAAATAAAAATAAATGAATCTTTTTTAAAAAGTTATTGCTGAGTGATTATGGGTTCATAACTAGTGTTTAGTTAAATTTATTTCATTTGAACAAGTACAGATTAAGATTAACTTTGAAACTTTTTGTATAACATGTATGGAATATTTGTGCACAAGGCACTGCATTTATTATTTCAGCATTAGTATAACTGTTGAATATTTTACTTAAATTAGTTGTTATGTTTTCCTTAGTTCAATTAAATTGAAACTATCATTCAAGATAGTTTTCAATCTAATATACATGTGGGAGAAAATGTCATGTATTACACCATGTTAGCCTCTAGGCGAGTTTAACAATGGTCCACACTACAGAATTTTCTACATGGATTCAAATGAATTTTCTCTAGTTTTAGAACATTTAAAAAATCGAGTCCATCAAATTGAAACAGTAACAAACAAGTTGTGGTTTTCTTGGAGCCCTTCATCATGCTTTCCTCCACTTTGTGGTTCTGCCAAAAGAAGGCAAAATGCTATCCACATCTTCAAGAGATTGGGGCACTGGCTTCAGATGAGCTTCTGATCAAAGTTAGGAAGATTGTAAAAAATCACAGCTGTTGACTTTGTAAGCAATGGGGTTGATGGCTTTGTAAACAGTGCAGTGGGAAGTCAGGAGTGAGTGCACTGATCTACTAGGACTGGTGACCTGCATGTCGTGTGTTTAGACAAGACAGTATCCCCAAGCACAACATGACAGATTGAGATCTGATCTTACCCTTTGAAAAAAGCAGTCGGTCCCTCCTTAGTTAACATTGACATTGCACAGCTGGGCACACTTGTGTACTGGCCTTGGGGAGAGTTGATAAATCTGGTTTTCACCACATCCACTGGAGAGGACAGAAGCGTTGTGCAAAATCCAGCAATAAGCGCCGACAGCAAGTGGCAGGGAACGTCATCTAAAATGGATCAATAAAGATCAACATCAGACTTTGGGGAATGGGGAAGCTTGTAGTTTTGAATTATCTATTCAGATGCTTGTAAGTCTGTTGATAGCAGGTGTTCAATGTGGATTTCTTCTAAATAAAATAGTGCAAGAAAAGTTGCACTAGAAAAAAGATGGAGCATAGCACATGGCGCAGTGGGAAGATAACCTGCTTCCTCTGTGCTCTTAGGACTTTGCATAAAGCAGATGATTGGCATCTTCCACTTTAAATGAGTTGAAGTCCTGTTCAGGAGAATTTCAGTGTCTGCTTGTTAGAATATTATTTTTAGGACCCCCATCCTATGGGGCTACTTTCTTACTGAAACCAGATTGACCAGCCCCTCCTATACCTAGCTCTCTTAGAATCATTGGAATCAGGACAGGATGAAGTCCTTGTGAATTCTGTTAAACAAAGTCTTACAAAAGGCTTTTATGTTAGTATTAAAGGAGAATGATCCTCCCAGAATACAGTTGCATTATACTTTTGTGACAACAAAATTGCAACAAAAACATTGCAAAAAAATTTTTTGCAGCAAAACTTAAACTGAAGGTTTTGACGTTTTTCTGTTTCTCAAAGTATGTCTTGTTCAAAACTACTTATTAAAAGCAAAGATACCATCTGCATCGGCAGCCACTGGAAAGCTGCAGCCATGGCTCTATGCTATCCTATGATCATGGACCTCAAGGGCCACAAAGTGACCAAGAACATGAGCAAGTCACAGCACAGCCACCAGTGGCGCCTGACCAAGCACATCAAGCAGATGCGGGACATGATTCGGGAGCTTTGCCCCCTATGAGCGCCACACCATGGAGGTGCTCAAGGTCTCCAAAGATAAATGGGCCCTCAAGTTCATCAAGAAGAGGGTGGGAAAAAACATCCAGGCCAAGATGAAGCGGGAGGAGCTGAAGAGTGTCCTGGGTGCCATGAGGAAGGCAACCCCTCCAGAAGGACTGAGCATTGCTATGCTAACCCCCTTTTGCGATAAACCTCTCTGGGGCCTCAAAAAATAAAAAATAGAAAAAGCAAGGTCTATTAGACTAAAGAGTCAATTGTCAATTAATTAACAATCAATATAACGAAGTAGAAACTTCCAGGCAAATTTGTAAAGGTGCTTTTTTTTAGTATTAATCAAGGAGTTACCTGCTAGTATGTCATTTCTCACAAGGGCCCCCTTCATTAGGTCGTAGGTTACGAGCTCTGTACAATTAATGATAATATTCCTTAACAGATTAGGAGTAGTCCCTGGGGGAGAGGGAGGAGAGAGAAGAAAACATTGGGTAACTCCACGAAGGAAAAGGTGCTAGTTGAACAATTGTGCTCTCATGATTATAAAGCTTCCTGGGAGGTGAGTTACCTTTCCACAGTGTGGACAAGCTCTCAGTTGTGGCTATAATTCTGTAAGCATTGTAAGTCCCCGTGTAGCGAGGTTTGAGACCATGCAGGTGGCTCTGCGCCTGGAGTCGGACTTTCACAACCTCTGTGGGTTGCCCGATGAACACGGCCACTCCTCCAGTTGTTAGACCAGCACAGATCTTGCTTCTTAAACTTGGTGTTGCTTTGCAGAAAGAAAAATATTTATTCAGCAGAAAATTGTCAAAATCCAGGATGTGTTCTTAAGTCTCTTCATTTTTAGGTGACTGTGTCTTGGTATTCTTAAATCATTTCTACTTTCCTAGTGCTGGCCCATGTACTGATCATGTACTAAGGATGTGCCAGATTACAGAATGGCTAGAAAACCAATTTTTTTTTAATGGAGACTTTCAGGAAAAAAAATAAAAACACGGTGTCTAAACAGCAGTTTATGGGATGGGGGTTGTGGCACAGTATGTTAAACCAACTCTTGCAATGCTGGGTTCTCACACCCAAGTGCTAGCTTGAGTCCTTGCTCTTTGCTGCTTCTAATGCTCTCCTCTGCGAAGTGTAAAGTTGTCTGTGCCTGGCTCCTTCCTGGCCGCCTTTCCCATATGCCCTGCCTCCTTGTCTTCTCCCCACTCTGAGCTTTGTTCAGGAGCTCCCATTGACCTCTTCAGACTCAATCCTGACCTTAAGCCTGAAGGAAACCTTGCATGGCCAAACCCGTATAGTGAGTTGAGCGCGTCTGTGCAGTGTGCTCAGCACCTTGCCGTGACTGCTCCACAGTGGTCATCCACTGACCCCTCGGCGACTCAGAGCTGTGTGCTCCTGTCTAGAGCACTTGTAACAGCTTCTAGCATGCAGCAGTTCAATGATGCTTAACAAATTAATGGAAGTAATCTAACAGATTACTGCCCCAAAACAAGTGCCTAATTGGGGATTTAAGTACATGACAACTGGCTAGAATTGTCAACTGAAGAAGAAAGCCACCTACATGGGCAGCTGCATATCTTTGTATCCCTTTCCTCGCTACATCTAGAATCATCCAGATTCTATCACCACTCTGAAAGTACTTGTGAAGATAAATTTATTGGTTCGTGTAAACTATGTTTATGAATTATCTCAGAATATTGGAGTAGTCCAAAGTTACTCAAAGGAGAAACAATGAAATCTACCAAGGGAGTGACTGAAATATTGGCCTGTCCACCAGCATGTCTCCCCGGTTTGCACCACATGCAAGTGCCTCTGATCTTTATGCCTGTGCATCACTTAGCATCTGTGATGCTCAGGTCAGGCTTCCTAGGGCAGAGTGAGCTGCGCACAGACTCACCTGCAGAGTGCAGGGGTCACTGAAGTGCAGCGGCCGAGAGCTAGGGCCTGAGGCCGTGGCTCTGCCCATCTCCAGCCTGTGAACACCAGTTAAAATATAGTTTATAGACATCCACACAGAGGTCCAAGTTAGGCACAAAACGCCCATGACCAACTGGGTGATCCTTATAGAGGCTGGCATGTAAAAACATAACTTGTATATATACTTTCTGTGCACAGTGGACTAGGATTTAAGGGAAGGGAAAGGGTTCAATCCCGGGAGATTTTCCTGCTTGCTTTCGGGAAGGCTGTGGCCCCATCGTAGCCAGCTTTCACTTTGACCTGGTGCACTTGAACCCAGCCAGCCTCCCAACAACATCCCGGGTGGCTTACCTTCCTCCCCTCCCCAGAACTCCTGCACTGTGTCGTAGAGGCCAATCCTGAGCGAGGCGAAGCTGATCTGTCTCTGGAGGCCGGCAGGCAGCCCGCTGTAGAGCTTCAGCGGCCCTTCCGTTTTTGCCAGTGTGGTGATGGTACCCAGAACACCTTTGTACCTGATGCCGCTGGTGGTCTGACACTCACCTTGGATCTGGAAACGAGAAAGGTGAGGAAGGGAGGAAAGCAAACACGGAAAGGGAGGCTCTTGTGCCATGAGGACGCAAGATCAGCATCTGGGGGAACCTCAAAACAAAGCTTGGTATGCTGTTTGCAGTTTCCCTTCTCAGCAAAGCCTGCCACTATTCTGTGCAGTGGGGTATGTGTGTGTGTGTGTGTGTGTGTGTGTGTGTGTGTGTGTGTGTGTGTGTGTGTGTATTCAGGGAGAAAGAAGGAGAGAAAAAGAATAAAGTGGGAGGAGAGAGAGAGAAGGAGTTTGAATGTGGACGTGGGGGCAATCCACAGGTTGCACTTCCTTCTTCCCTGTTGGGATCCCCTAGGGCAGTAGGATAGGGACTTTCCCTGCAAGAAACACAGAGAGCCTAGCTTAGAGACACACAGCCCAGCTTCTGGAACAGCCAGCACATGGTAGCTTTGGAAGGGTCTGGCGATAATAACATCAGATCCTCATCCTCAGGTCTTGTGAACCTGAAGTTACTTAGGGAAAAAGTTCCAGTTTCCCACTCTAGAGCACCTAGTCCTGGGTCAACGCCACGCTGTATGTTAGAGCGGCAACCTGCTCCATCTAACCGAGAAAGGGTGGTTACACCAAATCCTGGCGCCAAAGGGACGAACATAGCAGATGTCCCCCCAGCGTCCTAGGGCGCTTCACCATCCTCTTCTGCTTTTACCTGTAGGCGGACTTTAGCTGTGTCCAGGGGAAAGGTGATCACATCCGCCAGGCAGGCCGCCACTCCCGCTGAGAAGATCTTGACCCCCATGGTGGGGGCCACGTCCGTGGCTGTGGTGCCCACCATCTTTGCTCAGCGAGGGAGGCGCAGGTACAAGAAGCCAACAACTCCAATCTCCTGAAGATGTTAACTTTCCCGCCTTCTCACCCAACTCCAGCTCGGGCAGCAAACCTGCCGTCTCTGACCTCAGGAACAGCCACCAGGGAGGCTTCAGTCCAGAGATGGAGGGTGCAGGCGGAGCACAGCAGTGTGATTGCCTACCCACCCTCGTGCCTGGAGCACCTGCTATGCCCTGGCTGGCGAGCCCCACTGTGCCCCTGCCTTCCCCGGTGACCTTTATAGCCTGGCCACTCGAGGGCTGAGCCAGGCTAGGGCTCAGAAGGCTTGCGTGTGGGAACTAGCAGGGGCGTGCCCACGGGCGCCGTTGATCAGCGCCTGGGTGGCCGCCTTGCATTCCCTAAGGCCCTTGCCCAGCATTCCGCTGTCCGCCTCCTGCTTCTGCGGGCCAGGAGGGTGAACCAGCCCACGCGGAATCTGCCAGCCCTCTCCAGCGAAGCAAGCTGGGGACTCCCTGAGCAGGATCTAGAGCCCCTGGCAGAGGTCCCACCTGCGGAGCCAGAGTTGTCCCAGAAGAGGCAGACATAGGGAGGGGGCGCTGCTCTGTCCCTCTGACACCTTGGGCCCCTTGGAGCCTTCTTGCTTCCCTTTCCTCTCCTTTCAGTGTCTCACCCTCCCCGCTCCTGATTGCTTTCCAACCACCAAAATTCAGACTGAGAAAAATCCCACGCAAGGAACTAAACCACATTTAGAACTTTATAGAGAAAAAATCTGTTTGATCACTTTCCTAGGAAGAGATCAAATGAGATCACAGACATGCTAGAAAGCAATAATCAATGGCTAAAACAGTGTCATCCACTCCTTGGAACTCCATTTTAGAGGGTGTAGTGAAAAGGACAGGGCAGGCTGCCCAGCTCAGTACAGCTACGCTGCCCACCAGTGCCCTGCCCTGAGAAAGCCAATTGCCTTATACATTTTGTTTCCAATTGAGGGAAACATTGCAGTAGGCATCTCCACTCTGAAATAAAAGGATTCCCAATGAAACTGTTAAATAGACCTTGACGATTTGATCAGATCATTTAACCATTGCCCATACCTACAATACCATGACACATTTAAGTAGCAGAATGTTAAACTTGTAACTGTGACCAGAGAATGATACGATTCTGATAGTATGGGGGAAATAGTGGGAGGGGAATATGGAGAGGAAGAAAGGGGAGGGGAAGGGAGGAATCCCTATAGCTACAAAGCTGTATCATGGAAAATATTTCTTAAAGATATATATATTCTCCCAGGTTGCTATAGTCCTGCCACCTGCAGTGATGTTCAATGTGCGTTTGCTGTGGGAAGAACTTCTTCTATATCTGGACACATATTTAAGTGTTTATTTCTTCATTTTTAAGTTCTTACAGCTTCTTAAAATCAGACTAAACCTAGGCAGGTCAGCTACTTCTCTGGGTCATAGTCTATGTAATTTAATGATGATGAGAACCTGGGATGTGCAAGCCATACTACTGGCCTCTACAAATCCAAGAAGCAGCAGAAGTCAAATGTATCACAGAAGGAGACTTGAGAAGCCACAGGCCAAGATTCTAGAAATGGGTCAGGATTCCAAGGCATAAGTTGACCTCAGCTCCGCATCCAGGCTCTGGAAAGTGGGAGAAAGTTTGCCTCAGGTTGGAGGGCACAGTAGGGAAAGGGTGGCACCCTCAACATGGCCTTGCTGCCCTTGTGGCCCAGAGAGAGGGTGGAGGGTAAAGGCTAGTTCAGTGTGAACAAAGGTAGCTGGCTTTTTGTGGCACAGCAGGGAAGTGACGTCAAGTTCTGCTGCACTCAACCCCTGTGGCATAGTGACACAGACAGCAGGAGGCCTATGTTCCAATTCACCAGAGATGATCACAGATGGCATGTGGCCAAATTACTTGATTTCCCTGAACTTCAAATAAATTGTCCTGTATTGTAAGCTTATTTTTATATTCTTGTTCCTAAATACCAGATATGTGTAATCCTCATAATCCAGGGGAAGGTTTATCTATTGCATGTACTTAATGGACATTTATATGCCTTTGAATAAGTGCCACTCTTCTAAGCCTTAATGAATTTTAACACTTTAGTCATCACAGCTCTCTAAGTCATATGCCATTGTGATCCGCACTTCATGAATGAGGAAATCATGGATGCTCAGAGAAGCAACTTCTGATAGGTCCATAGCCAGAAAACAATACACTTGGGACCTGGCTATTCTCTAGACTCTCCAATCCTAGATGACAACCCAATTGCCTTCCCAATTGACCTGACCCTCCCTGTGGTTTGGAGATGTGTACCAGCAAGCTGTGATAATAGAGCTTTTCAATAAATGCTATCCAATGTTAAAGAGCACAGAATAGATACATCTCACATGTGACTTGTAAATATTATTAAGGAGCTTACAGAGACAATGCAAATAGCACCTTTAGTTGACAAGGCACCCAATTGTTCATCCTCAATAGAACCTGCTAAGAGAGAACATGAAAGGGAGATCTGAGGTCTATAGAGCTGGGGATCCAGCAAGGAAAGGGGTCAGAGATGGAAAGGGGGCTGAGAGAACAGGACATGGCTGTCATCAGCTGCTTGAAGGCACATCCACAGTCAGGGTTAGGTTTGCTTCACGCTCGTTTGGAGGAGTGAGAGCTACAGGAGCATGGGGTAGATACAGACTCCTGGTCAACGTGATCTGGCTGGGATGCCACTTTGAGGAGGAGCAATCGTTGCATGTATCCCATTTCAGGTACTTTGCTGTAATATGAATTCAGAGCAGCAGATTTAGTCTCAGGAAGATGCAGGCATGAGTCTGAACTCAGAGATACTTCTTGGAATTTCTTTCAACTTCTGTTTTCCTGTCTATAAAATGAGGGAAATAATTATAATTAAGGAAGGATGGCAACATTGTGGTGTAGTGGGTAAAGCTTGCAACACCGGCATACCATAGCAGGCACAAGTTTGAGTCCCACCTCCTCTACTTGGAAGATGGTTCAAGTCCTTGGGTCCCTGTACCCATGAAGGGAATCTGATGTAGTTCCTGGCTCCTGACTTCAGCCTGGCCTAACTCTGGTTGTTGGGACTATTGGGAGTGAATATGCTGATGAAAGATTCTCTGTGTGTATGTATGATTGTCTCCCTCTTTAGATCCCTTAAAAATTAACTATAATTATAAATTTGGTTTGTATTGTTGAAGGGAACTAAAACACTGAACTGGGGCTCTACCAATAGGTGTGAGGATCCCTTCAGCCCTCGAGGTGCTGTAAGCCCCTGACTCTGTAACTCCTGGGCTCCCCACCAGGGATGCACCTATTACATGGCTGAGGCAAACATCAGCTTCTAGATGTTTCTGTTGATATCAGGTGTGGCATGAAGGTGACAGTAGGGCCGTGAAGGTGAGAACCAGTTCCACGCCTCCTGCTGGGCCCCTGTTCAGATGAGGTTGGAGGTCACAGCCATTCCACTGCCTTCTCTTTCTGTTGTCCTTCCTTTTCCTAACCTTCAGGACAAAGGACAATTTGCCAAGCCGTGTGTCCTGCCTGCCTGAAAGAGAGTATTGGCCAAAGTTGAAGGATTACAACACTAGTGTGAACGTGACAGGCACTGGGGGAAGGAGCAGAGTCCAGATGAGGTTACAGCAGAAGCCTTCCCTGGGGTGTCTGCAGCTGTCCCCAGGGGACAGGCCAGAACCAGGAGCAAACACTCTCCTGTGACCAGCTACTGATCCTGATCACCTGGGAGGAAGGAGACCCAGACACCACAGGAAAGATGCACTGATTTGATTAGCAGCATAGCAGAACAGGCGATAGAAAGCAAGGAAATCACTACTGCATTCACTGTGGTTTTGAGCTGTCGGAAACGAAGCAGAAAGCAAGAAATCTTCCTAAGAAAACATGGCATCTCCACACTGAGCTAGAGGAGAAGGCCGGGAAAGGGCAGGCAGGTGTGTGAACCTGCCAACCGGCAGACATTCATGGAATAATTATTTATGCAATGAAGGGTGCAAATATTGTACTAAATGTGAGTAGATTATTGGTATTCTTAGAGTGGCCTCTCTCTTGCACATTTACCTCTGCAGATAAAAACGATGTGTACATTTCACAGATGAGGGAAATAAGCTTCATTCCCATTCATTTCCCACAATCTCTCAGTCACTCTCCAGGAGGGTTTTCCCAGGCTAGAGTTCAGTCGCTTGGAGGTTAGTTCCACTTAGAGGTTGCCCTGTAGCAGCAGTCTACAACCCTTGTTTTGGGGCCTTTGCCTTGTTGAGTCTTGCCTTCTTTGTTAAGGTTCTTGACTTATTTCACTTTTCCTGGTAGGAAGCAAAGGGAATGGGCATGTGGGATGTTTCTCCACTGGGAAGGTATTCTTGGAGTAATTATGCAATGAATGCATAATTCTATGTACATTTATTGAGCATCCACTCTATTAAAATCTTCAAAGAAGGACACATGAATAGATGATTATGGTTCCCTTTGGTGTAAAGATGTAGCCAAGTGTTTGGGGACCAGAGGATAAAAGTATCTGACCCTGAGTACAAGCATATTGGGGCCTTCCTGAAGAAGGAGCAGGCAGATCCAAGTGGGGAACAGTGGGGAGGAGCCAATCCGGGCAGGGGACAGGAGCATGGAAATGAGGAGCAAGACCGTGGCAAGGCACAAGGTCATGTGACACTGCACAGACCTGGAGCTGAGGCACAGCAGAGCTATGTTCTGACAACTCCAAGCTCAGGGGCACGTTTTGGTCTGTGAAAGGCCAGGGAGAGCAGGAGGTCAGACTTGGGCTTCGGGGAGAATGGCAAAAGCAGAGTCCTGGATCTTATTATTTCACATGGAAGAAGCAGGTTTCAGAAAGGGAAATGGCAAAGTGAATTTTGTGTTTTGGACAGATTTATATGGCTTTGGGTGGAAGTCTTGAGGACTGTGAGAAAGAGACCTGCCCCTGGCCCCTGGCCACATGCCAGCTCTCCTTGCAATTCCTTGTCTGGTGGT